GACCTTAAATGACACCTCAAGAATGGGAGCAATCGAAGTTTAATCAAAAGACGTCTAGCCAGAAAAGACTAAAGATTCTCGAAAAGTGCAACCTCGTTTTTCTGACGGAGTCAAGAAGTTAAGTTAACGCTTTGTCGCAAGTGACACGTTTTGGTAAGTGTTTTTACAACTTTTTCACTACTGTAGGAGAGTTAGAAGGCCTGATTGGAGCTTATTGTGTAACTATCCACAACAGTACAAGACAACAGTTATGTTCAATCACAGCATTCTATCTCGTCAACGAAAAGCATGTAACAGCTCCAGCATAGTATAGTATTCCTACATTCAAGAAAAATAATCATAATAACCATAAATTCGAGAAATTTCTTCACTTCGCATTGAATGAAAAGAAAACGTGCGCATGTTTTATTTGTGACTCTCTGTATTGTTGCTGTTTCTTCAGCTGCAACTCCATATATAAAATTAGAAGTATTTTTAAACATCATCAGTGGTGCAATTGAGTGTATCACGGAGGGCCACTATAGCCGAGGAATCTACGCTCATTCGAAACCACGTGCACATCTATTTTTTTATTGCAGTCTTTACTTACTACTCTTTTAATAAACATATTTAAAAAAATTATACGATTAAAATACTGGAAAAAGCATCTACACGTACATCTTTGGTGATACAATTTGCGTTTTGTTTCAAACTGCAATTCGGACCAGACGTACACTGCTTGTTTCCAGGATTCGACACTGATTCGACAAGATTACTTTAATGCATGAACTACGAAACTGAACGCAACTTGAAATTTGCATGATAGATCCCTCACATGGGGTCGAATCATTAATAACGCGGCGGTGTTTCGAGGTATTTGATGTGATTTCGTCCTTGCTCAAGGACAGGTAGAATGGAAAGTTGGTTTCATAGTCACGCAAAGTCATAATCAAGTCTGTTCTTTTATTAATACTGTTATCATGCCTTTCCTCTCTATTATCCAGTTTTTCGACAAGTTTAGAAAAATGGCGATACAACAAATATATATTTGCCAGAAAGCGTTTTTCCCAAAGACATATTTGCACTATGCAAAACTCGTTAAGGGGATCTCAAAATGTATTGGTTGAGATGTCGTTGCCGCAAGTGATATTGATGCTTCAAATGTTATCGCCTATAAAACAACAGAAAGATTATTGCGATTACTTTTTCTCTCTTGTCCAGAGGAATAGTTGAAGTTTTACAGGTAAGAGTAGTTATTGAAAGATATTGAGAGAAGTCAGGGAGAACGAGTAGTAAGTCACAGCTTGTGTTTCAGCATAATAGATCACTGAGGTAAAATAAGTATTTGAAGTATGCAACCCTGTCGATGTGGCAAAAATTAAAAAAAAAAACAACAACAAAACAAAATAAAAAAAGAAAGAAAAACGGTAAAGAAAAGTTAGATTCGAAACATATGGGTGCAGTAAATTGGGGACTTATTGCTTCCATTTCAAAATCCATAATTTAAGCTCAACATTATTTATACACTGATTTTAAAGGTGTGTATAGAAGATTTAAAGCTCGATTCCTCTGTCTAACTCTATAGCAATAACCCTGGTTCCTCTGCAGAACTCTTTCCTGTTATAGCTCTCGGGTAAGGCAAATTACCTATTGCTTAATTGCTTATTCATAACTATTACACATGATATCATTTGAAGATAAATTTGCGTGTAAAACAGATTTTAACAAACGTCACTTTAGATGCTTTTTTTTTTGGGCTTTTTCACAAATTTTGTGTCCTCATTATTACTTGCTTTGACCCCTTCATAAGTGGAGAGGGTGTTCACTACTAATAATTTGTCACTCGAAGAAACAAAAAGCGTTATGCATGCAGTGAGCTTTTACGCAACATCTGTCTTCAAATCTTTGTTGTCTACAGCATTTGACACTGAAGCATCTAGTGTGTTAAGTATGATTGCATAATAGTTTCTCCGCTGATGTCGCCTGTCAAAAGCAGCTTGAAAAGGGTGAAATCCGAATAGAACTCCATATATATTTGTCGATTTTGGAGTTAGACAGCTTAAAAAGGTTTGAAACCTTCTAACAGTTTGAATTATTTAGCATAACTAAATTATTGTACTAAATATTATTATATTTGTATGCTGCTAAAATTTCCTAATCCCTTTAAAGTGATTCCTCGGAAAAAAAAAAGGTATCGAACATTTTTTTAAACTGTCCTTAAATGTTCCCTACCAAGGTCTGTTTCGAAAAATAGAATAAAAAAAGATGGTTCACCTTGCTTGTTTAGGAGATATAATCGGCAAAACTTACACCATTTAAGCCTGGTCTGGCACTAATCACGTGCGTCATTTCATTGGTTCACGGTACATTTTGCTGCAGCTGGAGCAAGGTTTTCAAAGTAACAACTGAAAAAAAATTTCATAGAAAGAAAATCTCGGGCGTATTGAACAATTTGATATATAATTTTCTGGCGAATTTAAGGGCTTTTTCCCTATGCTTTTCTTCTCTTCCAATGTTAAGGGTTCCATTAGGGTTACAAGAGCACCGGCTGTACCTCAAACCTAGCCACTAATATAGTCAGACTATGCTGACTCTGTACGTATCATTTTGGTTCCACGTCTCCCACATCAGAACAAATAAAAAAACCGCCCCAAAAAAGGAGATCCTGTTTCTATTTTCTCTCTGATGTTTATCTTTATCAACATTTTTTAAAACTATTACATGAGAACCCCACCACGCCGAAAATGTCGGCATCAATAGGTTTATACTGTAATCATCCGCCGAAAAAGTTACCTAAATAATATTAATAATAATATTAAAAATTTATAGTGCGCAAATTCCATAAAATGTTCAAATGTTCAAAAAAAACACCTAGAAAATGCACAATATACGAAATTATTGCCAATTTCAGGAAGATTAACAGTGAAATGACACGATATGTATTTTTTAGATCGTTTCGATAGAAAAGACATTCAACAAACCATTCACATTACATGATGAACGGATGTAACCAATATGGCTTGTCGAAGAAATCACACTACTCTAAGACTCCACGTAATTGTGCCACAGGGAGAAAAATTTATTTTGAATTACCACTGAAAGGCTATGGATTGTGAGAGGGGTCAGGGCTCGTTTAAAGTAATTTCAGAAAAGCCCATCTTCAAACTTTTTTGTCATTTTAGATTTTCTCCTCTCAATACGAACGTTTTCCAAAACAAAATATATCCTTCCGATTCTTATACCACTGACTGCCCAGTTTAAAACGGTTTTATTCTGCATGTATAATAAAACTTTCATAAGGTTGTAAGGGGATGTCAATCTCGTGAAGTGGACTTTATCAAAAGTTTTCTTTGCTAAGGTAGTTCCAAGTAGATTCCAAGCTCCATTGCATTGCCTAAAAGTATTGTCAGACTCACACAAATTGCATTCAATCTTCTTGTACCAAGTCTAGTAATGACCCAGTGCCAGATAGAAGTGAAAAAGAGTCTGCAAAGTCTGAAAGAAAAATAAGACATATCATAAAGATACCTAGATTAAAGAAAGTTTTTATCTTTCTTGGGCCTCATACATGCTACTGAAGGATAAGCTTCACCGCAGTTTCCCCCTCCGCCAGCTAACTTAGTAGGCATAGGGGCATAAATTATATAATACTGCCAAGACCACATTCATCACTAAAACTTTTAAACATTCTCAAAAGAAGCAAACTAATAGAGATATTTACCTGTTTGCTTCTTAGTTAACAGCCTGGTACCAATTTAAGTTATTGGTGCAAGTTTCCATCATGACATCAAACATCTGCTTGTTTAGTAATTTACGTCAAAATGGCTGTTAGCATGCACAAAAAAGGCCTGCACAAAACACCAAACCGTTACCATGACAATACTTAATTAAAATGATGTGAAAAATAACATAAGTTAAACTAGGATCTTTATTCTGTTTGTCGTCTGGCTGCTCTCAGTGGCACGTCAGAAGTCCCTCGAGATTTCGGGAGTGACGCAGTCAATCCGCTATTTTTAGCTGCATAACAATGGCAGCGAATGGATTCAACGGTCGATTCACTCCTTCTCACGTTCTAACCATAAACATATGCCTAAATATATTTAAAGCACATTATTACACAAAAACACATATCCCCTTGAGTAAACATTGAAATACAAATTTGAAGAGATAGATAATAGGTTTTAAATTTTCAATAAGCTGTAATCTATGCTATGGACTTTGGGACAAGGCGTCTTAGAAAAATCGGCTATATGCTAGGTTCTTGAGAAATATCAGTTTTGTATGGATTGAAAGTTATGCACTGTTCTGTGAGTTCCCTGCTTGGTTTGTTGTTATAATTTCCCCGTGATATCGATCATTGCAAGGCTGTCTTCTTGGAGAATTGGAGTAGATGAGGTCCCAGGGCAAACAATTAAGGTTTCAGAGAGAATAATAATCCTTTAAAACCCTTTTGAAAATTTACCTGAAGTTAGTCAAAGTTTTAAAGGTTCAGTCGGTACTTATGTACTCGGAGAAGGAAAATATGAAGGTAAATTCAAAATCCGAGGAAAGAAACCCAAAAATATTACGAAACATCATTGCCTTACAGCTGTTTGCAAATGCCAATTCATTCAGTTTTTCTTGTTTGATCACGTGGAGATTGTACAATTATATATGGATTTACACAGAATAAATAAAATTTGGGATTTGTAACTTGAAGCTTCATCGGTTCTAAATGTTACCAAGGCAAGCTTACCTGGCGCAGCCTTGGTCGAATCATGAAAAGCCAATCTTTTTGCATCGGTGTGGGAATGAGCAAAAGTCTATAGAGGAGGTTCTAAAGAAATTAAATGATGTGAAAGTAACGTTTAGACAAACAAAGAATGCTGGAAAGGTCTCTCATTTGAAAGGGTCTCTCATTTGGAAAGAAGGGGCAGTTACATAAGTCTACATACAAAACGGTTAATCAAGTTAGTTCTTGCTGTCACGTGCCCGGCAAGATTAATCACGCGTATCAAGCTTTTCATCAACTCTCTTGTTAGATGAATGTACAAGTCAAGGAAGATTACTCCAGATCTTCTAGAAGATTCCAATTACTTAACAACTGGCAAATTGTTTCTTGGTATGTATAGATGCACCTGTTGCAGAAAAAAAAAAACGTTTAGTAGCTTATTCTTAAGATTGCATGAGGACACTATTGCTGTATGAGTTGTATTTAGTTTTCTGGTCACGTACGCTACAACACTGCTTTCCTACAACGTTTAACTGTTGATAATTATTTGTATCATGTTCACTCAATGTTTCTAATGGGAAACGGATGCAAGAAGAATTAAGACCAATTAAGATTCCCGCCCATTTCATATTTCTAGAAATTTTATTGAGCTGCTTTAATCATCCCACACAACTCGTAACAACGTAGTTCTCGTCAGGACAAACTGCAGCTCCCAATCTTCGCACCACCACTTTCTCGCTCAATTTGAAAAACTCTACATGTTAATAGCAAAAAGGAAACAAAGAATACCTTAAATAGCCCCACATGATATTGCTTCGGGCAGTGCTAGGACAATGTTGGTGATTGTTGGCAGAGAGCCATATCTGCTCTGTTCATAGAAAAAGAAGACCAGCTAGGATGTGAATTTGTAGCAAAGTGTTTGCCTGATGTATATATTTCTTTTTTTATTTTGGCAAAGCGACTCACTTGAATGAGTTTTTATTCTAGGCAAAGCTTTGAAAAGGCTCCCAGATGTGTCTAATGGTCTAGTTCATCCATTAACATGTTTCAGTAAACTGTAAACCAGAATGACAACTTAATTGTAATGATGTGATATTGAAGGAAAATTAACTCTGTTCTTGTCTCGAAATAAGCACTTTCCGAGATTGAAGGTATTAACTATATTGTTTTTGTTTATGAAACCCGAAGGCTATTAAGAGGCTGAGAGAGGGCCAAGGTTACCACAATGCATTTTTGTAACTATCCCTGTTCGTTCAATTCAAGACCTAGAAAGCAATGAGAAAACTTATTTCACCTCGTAATTCGTGGAATGTAGGATACGCATGCGTTAAAAGGAAATCAAACCTTTAGCTTAGTTGCAGTCATATTAAAATCAACTAAGTGTGCCGGGAGCAAGATATTTCTTGTGACGTTTTCAGCCAACACAAACATTGCCATTTACGCGGTGGTCTATATTCACTTACACCCTTTCCAAAGAAAGACGCGACTAAATGTTTTCCTTTCACAATCGAAAGCTATGTTTAATAGAAGTCGTCACACGCCGAACGTTAATGACTTTGATAGAGTAATTCAAACGAGGCCGTATAAGGTAGAGTAGTTCAGATGTCAAACTTTGTCACTTAGGAGCCGATTTCCATTGTAAACAGAGAATCTTTGTTCTCATTATGTATTAGTAATTACTAATCAGAAAACAATTGGCGAAAGGCAAAGGTAGAAAGCGTGTCGCCTTTTGATTACTTGCCTTTTTCGTAGGCACGAGCTAAAAACGGAAGCTTGGTAAAAAAAAAATCAGCTTTCACCGCTCGGAGTCTTCTTGTGTAAGTGGGTAAACTAAATTATAAGTTAGTGTTAAGTTCCAAGCGGCTTTCCTGAGCATTTTGAGCCGTACAGGCCACTCTTTTTGGTTTTAAAGACTTCTTGTAAACAAAGCAGGTTCGCTTTAATTACCATTGACTTGCGCAGGATCACCGCCACGAAAGTTGAATGCTGCTCAGTTAAGTTCCTTAAAAATACTTCAGTTTGGGGATTCATACGTTTGTCCTATGCCTGATGTCAATGTGACCTTCACCATGCGTACAATTTTCCACAAAAATTGATTAGAAACATACACTTCAGGTGTTAGCTTTCCCTGTGCCACTTTTTATTGAGTATGAGAGCGGCAGCATTAATTGCAAGTCGACTCTTTCTCAGGAGCTTCTAAGTTCACATTCACACTTTCACAGTCTTAGCTACAGGTCAGCCTCAGATTTTACATAGGTTAAAGAGGCATGTTCCTTTCTAAAGTGAAACTATTTCTATTTCGTCAGGCCGTTGAAAATGCTGTTTTCCGTTACACAAGTCATGGTTGTTGTGTTACTATTAGCCGCCACCACGGGCAAATCGACCCACAGACTACAACAACCTTCGGACTGCCGAAAATCGAAAGGCTACCTCATCATGGGGAAGGCCAACTGTAGCTTCAGAATTACAACTTTTGGTTGTCGAGGCGGCTGCTTGTCGTCGGCGAAACCTTTCAGCTATGGAACTGGATTTGCTTCGAGTTGTGGGTGCTGTGCACCTATCGAAGATACTATTGAAGAAAAAACGGTAACCTGTTGGGGGGAAAGGAAAGTGATTCGCTATCCAGTGGCAAAAAGATGTGCCTGCAGAACATGCAACTGACAGAGTCTCATTTTGTCTATTCTTGGTCGAATTGTAGCTTAATTCAAAACAGCGACTGAGCAATAAGTCATCAAAAGGAATTTAAGATAGCAGATGTATTTCAGGTTTTGATGCGTTTCCGAAAGTAACCCCACAACAAGACCTGAAACTTTGTTTAAAAAAATTCTATCGACAACAGGTTTAAGGTGAACACTAATTTAAAAGTTAACGCTGCCGTATTTATGGCCATGTATTATATTTATGATTCATTTTTGTAACCAGCTATTTGAACGTACAGTTAGCTTACAATACCTTTATAAGTGTCAATCAAGTGCAGAGGATATTGTGCTTCGTACCATTGCACATTTAATGAAAACCAACTGGAGAACAACTTACAGAAGATTATGCAATAGTGGTGCAACTTCTCAATATGTTGATGGAAAGCGGTCGCATAAAAAGCCATTAAGAGAAATTGGAGTGAAAATCATGCGATAATCTCTTCAGGGTATCACCCAATATTAAATGAGATATTTGCGATTTAAACGGTTTGGCATCTGTTAAGATGTTTTTCATTGGAAAAGGCAATTAACATTACTGTGAAAGAGACCATTTTTGCCTACGGCAAGTTTCGATTTCACGACCAATTTACGTATATTGTTTTTGTTCGCAAACCTGCGTGAAATATCATCGATCCAAAAGAAAAAGAGACTGAACAAAAGCAAACACGTTTGGGGACACTATAAGATAACAGAGGCGACAGCCTTTTACATATGTGCATAAAAGGGTTGATTACGTAGGGATTATATGTATATAACCTTAAACCTACCACAGGTAATTGTAAATAATCTAAATAAATGTTTTCCCATTAAATCCTTGTAATAAGGAAATTCAGACCTAATGAAAATAGTCCGTAAAATCCCTAGTTAATGTTTATTTAAATGCTTCCTTTGTTTTTGGTTGTAATGGTAAGCAGCTATTGGCGATCAAGAGCCTTCTCTCCACTCTCCCCAAAGTGGCAACTGAAAATTTTCGCTAAATCGGATATTTGTACCAGCTCCTAGATTAATGGCCTTATTGGGAGGTCTCACAAACTTTCACCCACTGAAATGCTACTTCAGTCGTGCAGGTGTATTCTCAGTTATACCAAAATGTATAGATTTGTTTTCTCGATGGCCTACAGTATACCCTGAGTCCTACAGACGCCTGTTTAGATGAAGACTACGATAATTTTCTGCTCAATAAAGTTTTAAGCTCTCTGAAAACTCCAAGCTTGCAATTTCTAACGATAGAAATCATTTACCTCATAGGAAAGAGGAACTATTACCATTATAATTAAAATATAATCACCTTAACTGGTATTTGTATTTATTGTATTTCATTAGCAAAGAAAAAACGGGCGACCGGTATCTGGTATATGTAAAGAAAGCTTCGGAAGAAACACAATAAAGTGCTACTCTGGTAGAAATTTTTGGCTGCTTCTTACTGTATCTGTAGTTGCCGTAAAGTTTTAGTGTTCGCATTTGCTGAAAATAAATTCTAAACATTATCGAAATCAGGAATTTCTTTTCGTAAACGTTCATAATCTTTGTAATCACTGTTTAGAATAACTGATTTAATTTTTACTGATTACAAAAAAAAATTGATGAGTTATGATAGTTACTTGCTTTTTCATTTTTTAGATGGCCAGAGATGTAATGCAAAGGTTTTCATACAAAATAATAGGATTAACAAAAGACAAACTAACGCGGATAATACTGTCTAGGAAAACACCACAGGAAAATGTCAGGAATGGCCATTTAAATTCGACAACAATCTTCAGCAGGATACAATAGGGAAATACATGAAACATATTTTATGACAATATAGAGTAATAGCTAGGATGAACGTAAAATGCTTTAGTTTAAAAAAGAGTAGCGCACCAACTAACGAATAAAGACTTCTAAAGTAATTTTATTGAGGCTGAACACAAAGTTAGTCGGTGGATTCTGAAGCCAGAAAATGAATGTCATGTAACCTTTCAATCTGTTACTGCAAGAAAAAACTCACTAAGAATAAAACATGCTATCATGAGATCACCTACTCACTAACTTTCAATTCAATTTTTTTCACTTTTATGTATACCTTCTTGCTAAGATCGTCAAATGATATATCTACGAACAGTCTTAAAATTTGTTGTAATTCTCTGTTTTAGCTGAAAGTTCCTCCCTATTATGTATGACACAAAAGCAGGTCACCTGTAAGAGGCTCTCAGTCCAGAAGAAGTAACTAAAAGCAAAGAATATGAATTTTCGGTTTTCAAGCGAAGACTGCTCTACTGCCGTTACATTCCAATGGTTTGCTGGAACAATCTATGCGGAGAAAGTAACCACATTACTAACGGGCTGAACAGTCAAGTGAATGTTGTAGTATCAATTAGTTCTAAACATACATAGGCTAACATGTATATGTCACACACTGTACATTTGTTCAACAAGCGACGTCCATTTCATCTCTTTTGTGAACGGAGACCTGTGCGCAGTTGTCCTATGGTTGTCGAGAGCATTTCAAACAGCATTCGAGATCTAAAAGCTCTTTAACTATACACACTTGCGATTACCTTTGTGTAATATTTGGTTGGTCCTCGAACACCAACATCATCCTTAAGTTTTAGATGAATCATATCACCCTCTTGTTTTCTCAGAGCAACGTTCCACGAATTCGCAGAAATTGGCTTTTGTTTTGAAAAGCTCTCTTTCAAGATTCAGGTCTTTAAGGGAACATGAATTTATGACAACTCAAACTATTATCATTTGTTAAGAACTCCCCTGTAGAGTCGTGAGCTCTTATAATACGGTATACCACGAGTTTTCATAGCTGCAAATACAACTTGATCAAAATTATCGAAATACCGTCCAAACATAAGAAGATACCTCAACCTCACTTGTCATTAAAGGGGCAAAAGTATCGAAAAATGAGCACCAAGTTAAGTAAGCTTAAACGCTTCATGACCTAAAATTACATTGTCTTAGTCAAGTTCTTTTCTGTAATTTATTTGGTGACAGGAGCGGATGAGTTAACTCTGCACCATTTAGGGGGAATATTTGCAACAACTGCAACGATTAAAATGAAAAAAGAGGTGAACGAGAATTTCATGAAAGGACTTACAACTAAAACAAAGTTCATGCATTCTTAAATTGTTTTTATTTCAGTATCACTTTTATTGTCATATATCAATCAGAGCGATTCCTAAGGACATTAGTTGACAAGAATGATTGAGTAGATTAATTGTAGTTGTTAATTGTAGTAGTTAATTGTTTAGCTACATTTTGCTAGTTGTAACTTAACGCGGCGAAGGGGCGATATTTATAATGCCAATTTGTTACTCTCTATGGATTCGTTGTCGAAGATTTAGTGTGATTTTTTCGTAAATAATGAGGGGTCTCGAAACAGGTTGTGAACCTTAAATAAAGAAAGAAATAGCATTTCTTCTAGCCTTTCATGAAGGAATTAATATTGACATACATGTTCATTTAAGTGGTATTGAAATTCACACCCATAAAGGAAAAGGTAACTTTTTTTCGCTTTCAGGTTTTGGCCTTAAAAAAAAAATAAGAGCGGTCCTCTTGAAAACGCGTTTAGTTAAGAAATAAATTATCAACTTGCCGCAGACAGCCACTCTAGAGCTGTTGCTTTTGGCGATATCGTCACGGAGTCGAGCTTGATTTGAAAGGAAATATGCAAAATGGCTTTGCAGGATTTGTGAAATAATCGAAGAAACGATTTTGCACAAGAATCACACATTAGGACATTTAATGATTGCCAAACCTCATTAATGGTACACGCATGGTTAAGTTTAATCAACATCATAGCAGTAGTTTTTTTTGCGATGAACGCTCCATTTAAGGTTTAGTGTTGTTAAGCTACTGAATATTATTTTTGGCCTTAAAAGGAACCACTCATATCATACTTCCATCACTCTATGCAGGGGGCAAAAAAGATATTCTTGCCTTTGGCGTTTTGGTTCCAGATAGCTAGCCAAAAACACATGCAATTTTTTAAATTGGCAATGGAAATGTAAACAGCCTTTTGTCGTCACAGATGGAAGTACTAAACAACTCGAGATTTCCACAGTTCCCACGCTCCTAAAACCTGCATTAGTTTGATGCAATTAGGGGCATTGAATTCGGAACTTTATATTTGTAATGCATGTCGAACTCCAGTGAGATTTACCTGCAGCCAAAACTACAAATCATAAACTGAGCAACTGGTTTACTCAACGTGCATTGAAACATAACGTAAACATTCATTCGAAATCGTTTAGGGTAAATGTTTACTGAGGCCAATGAAACATCGAATGGCAGTAAAAGGTATAAATATTTTCCAGTAAAACACATAAAATTGTCATATACGGCTGACTGAGTAAATTCTTCGACATAAGTCAGTTTAGCAGGGTAATTTGGTATCATCAGCTGAGTTGATAACGTAAATTGGTCACCGTAAAGAGTTTAAAGTGTGACGTTTCGAGCGTTAGCCCTTCGTGAATCGCTCTGACGAAAGGCTAACGCTCGAAACGTCAGCCTTTGAACTCTTTACGGTGGCCAGTTTACGTTATCAACTCAGTTGTTTTGTTAAGTTACCCCGTTCTACTCTCCCACCGACGCAGCACCACAATTTCTTTAGCAACTTACCCCCTTTATTCGTAAGTCAGTTTAGTTCAGCTGATGTAAATAATATATTAAAATTACTTAATATCGTATGAAACGCTTCAAATAACTTGTAAGAACTGAGGCATCAAATGTTGTTGCAGACTGTGCATGAACATTTAATTAAACATTGCTACGCGTTACGCTGTGGACACACCTAGGGAATTAAATTTCACCTAGAAAAATCTGTATAAATCAATGATATAGTTATAAATCACTTTAGGACAACGGTGATTTTGACTACAAAAACCATCTGTGTTTAGTTTGGTGAAATATAATGCATCTCGTTCTCGCCCTCTTTTAAGTGACACTAAGGTTTAAGGAATGTAAAGATCATGGTAGTACCAATATATTTTCTGTTGCATTTATTACCTTTCCCTTATTAAGGATTACCAGTTGACATATAATGCCTGTTTCATAGCATGATAAATTGACAAGTAGCATTTTAACTGATCATAATTGAAAACAAGTTCTAGAAAGCGAAATAAGCAAATATATAGGCTGAAAGCGTCTTTTATTTAATTAATCAAAGTGCTGTGAAGTAAAAACAGTTACTGCGGATTGTATATGTGATGTTCCAGCGCAACATGTGAGTGTCACGGGAAAACTTAAAGCTACAATAATATTCATTTAATCCACATCAACCTTTATACAAACCTAAATAGAACGTAATTCACTAAAGCGCAACTCTAAAGATGTAAAGGTCACGGAAACTTTTTTTCCAATTGTAACTGATAACAAATGTACCTAGCGTTCATGTAGCCTTCTTCGCTCGGATATGAAAAGTTGTGAAACGAATGAGTTTCAATGCATTCTATTCTTGATCAAGGTAAGTGCTCGTCGTCTTGGGAAATTCGTGTGACATTGTTTACCTATCATGGAGAAAACAGTTGTTCATGAGTTGCTAGTAATGTGTCTTTGTGGTAAACTTTGTGTTGTAACCAATGTTCCGAAACTACTGAAACAAACTGTCGCTTCCCGTTTCGATTTAAAAAAGAATGTTCGATTCCATTGCTTCTGTGGACTGTTTTCTATTCTTTCTAACGCCGGACCCACTTTGAGATCTGCCGTACCTTAGTGCCGGTAAAGGAATTAATAACATTAAATTTGAACTCTTTGCCTTTGACTTTTCCGCGAACTATTGCCGAAACCACTCCAACTACCGCACTCTCATGGCGACTAGGGGAGTTTACGTAAACTCCAGAGCCGGAGACACCTCTAACCCCATCGCAAAAGTTGAGAATCATGTCGTTCGCTTTTCTGTATACAGAGCAATATGTGTACCACAATGAATTGTACCATTTGTCACCGTGAAAACCAGAGAATTGAATTTTCGAACCGGGAAGAAGACTGCTTATCTGCACGGACATGTGTTTTCTTGAGTGCTTGCGCTTCAGTTTTAAAACTGCAAAATCGTATCTCAGCCTCTCTTTTGTTTGGGTCTGTTTCTTCCACTTTTTAGGTATAAACTTTCTCTTCACTTGGATCCAGTGGAACTTTCCTGATCGCTGGAGCAAACCTGGAAATAAAGTTGTATTAGCATACAAAAAAAAAAAAGAATCGATGACCTTAATTAAGAACGTTACGAAAACATTACTGATATCTGAATGATAGAAAGTTATGAATAATTCAGATGAGTACCTCAAGTACACTTGTTCGGTTTGTCGAAAATAAGCTCTCAAAGAATACGTATGGGTGGCAAAAACAAAGTGCACTTAATGGCTCTAAAGACAGTCAATGGCCGTTTTTATGCTAGAGACGTTAAAGTTGTCTAAGAGACGACTTTAACGTCTTAGACAACTTTAACCTCTCTAGCATAAAAACGGCCAATGTGGTTCGAGACGCTTCAGACGAACTTCTCGAAAACAGGAACTCAAAGAAAAAGAAAGTTTGTAATGAATGACCGGGTTTGGGCACATAGCAAATGCAAGATTTTATTCCGCTCTTCCTCTTGATTTCCTAGAATTTTTTCAGGCGTATGATCTCAAATTTCTGGAACCGTTTACATTTGTCCAATTTGCTTAAATCAACATCTTGCCGTTGAAAGGTATCTCATCACTCTAAACAATTTCCAAACAATCTTTGAGAAGACATTTGGCGTCAAATTGAGACCGTCCAGTGTTTAGCTGAATTAGACCAACATTCTCTCCAAAGGCAAATTCGCAAAGAAAGCGTAACATGACGTTTCGATGACTTTCTTTCCTCAATTACAAATGTGGTACAGATTAGCATAGGCGCAATATAGATAGGTACAGAAATGTAAGTGTGAAGAAAATGACATAAATGAGAATAACACGTAGGTATTCAAACAAATAGTTTTGCGCGAATGGAGTCGGTCTGTTTGTTAACATTCTCAGACATACATAGCATCAAGGAAAAAAGTCACTTGCACTCATCACTATCAGGATCATTAAAAAGTTCCGTTTATCCAATAAAGTTGTCCTAAAACGATATCTATTGTCTTCTGAGTTGATAATTTCTAAACAGGCCTTTTGTTGATCGAAGGTGAATCTTAATTGTCTTTAGCATCTTGTTACAGAGCTTCGTTTAAGGTATGGTACATCTGCACCTGAGGGTAGCTTTATTTCACGCACTATTGAATGTCACGAAAATACTACATTGTTGGAATGCTTCAAAACTTTGAGGGTTTCATCGATTACCGTAGAGACACTTAATAACGAGCAAACGCATCAAAGGAACAAAACAAACAAGCTAATCAAGAACATAACTGTATATAATTCTCCCAGACATTTAGTTTGAATAATGCTTATGAAAAAGATTCTAAGTAGATGACGTTCATTCCACTTTCCGCAATGGTCTTAGTCAAGCTCCACGCCCCCACAGCACGCCTCACTTGCCAATATAACAGGGTACTAATTTCAATAATCTCATATTAATTTTGGTGTTACTGTCCGGCGTTATTCACGACGAATCAAAACAAACGTCGTCAAGTGGGGTCTTTGTTTGCTGGAGCCATACTCGTCTGACAAACCATTAAGAAGGATGCTTTTCAATTTTGTCGTATCGCTTTAATTCAAGATTTCAGTTTTGTCCTTGAGAAGTTAATAGCCCTCCTGAAGTCATGTGACAACCTCACAAATTAATATAACAGAGCAAAAATTGGTAAAGAAGTGGGAGGAATAGAAGACACGTTAAAATAGACAGAGACTGTAGATTGACAATACGCTAACAAAATCTCAACCATGTCAAATTGATAACATGGATTTTATAATTTTGAATATTCTAGCAAAGTCGACCCGGTGTAACCTAAATTGATTTTTTAACATCAGTGAATTATACTGCATAGTGAGCCCGGCTGTGACATGAGACCTTGTAAATAAAGATCAAATAAATTTCGTACCAGAGATGTTGCACAATTCTTAAGGAAGGAATAAGTCTAATCACTCACCAACTTTTAGTCGTTTGGCAATTTTTAAGTGTCTTTTGCCGTCGTGTACACAGTGAGCGGCTGTCAGCACGTGCTCAGGCCCGATGAGCGTGCCAGTGCAACCGGAAGAAAGCATCACTGCAGTGGAGAACGGATACATCTGAGCTTCGAGAGAAGTTCGCATATTAACTCGATTGTCCTCTCCAAAGATTTGTCTTCTCCGTCTACCTTGGCTGGAATGCACTTGTTTTATGGAGAGGCCATGCCCGGAAGTCTTTCTGGTTGGTGTGAAGGCCGAAAGGACTTTTTCAGCAAATTCTTCTAACGAATTGCTTTCTTCTTCTATGTTAAGAAATAGAGTCCCTACATCATTTTCCACTTGGGTTTCTGTAATGGTCAGGTCGGACCACTCGGCGGGTTTTCCGTTTTCTTCTTTGATCAGTTCAGCGTATATACTGCACACATACGTTGTACCTAGTACTGCAAAAAGCAGGAAAGTCAGGAACAGATCCATTGATCTTTATCCTCCTGGCTAAGATCTGCCCTGCCAAAAAATGCATGACGAAAGGCACATCGTTATAACTGAGTTAATATTTTTGCACACAAAGTTTGAAAAAAAATATATAAAGATAAATAAAACTACACATGGCCTAAAAATAACAGCCATATTTACAGTAGACTGGTCCACTTAACACAAACACCTTAAGACAAACTATTTCAATCGTGAAGTGCATGCGTTCACCTAATTCAATGTTTCTCGTACGGATTTCAATGCCAAATGATTTCAAATGACACGAACTTTGGTATTTCACTGTGCCATCTGCTTAAAAACAACTTAGAGCCTGACATTTCACTCACGCACCGACCCACTGTCTTAAATAAAAGGACGACAAAGTTAAAAATTTTTGAGTTTTGACAAATTATCATAACAAAACGATTCATAATTAGCTGTAATCTTTTCGCACAATGTCTTGGATATGACAATCATGTTTTAAATTCCAGTAACCAAACAAGGTTCATTCGCCAACGTTTACCCAAAAAGGCCTCCCGTTTGAGGCTCCATCTCATGAGGAAAGAATTTAAGACATGGTCGCTTTGACAAAAATCCACCCTCAACATGCTTTTCTGTTGGCGGAAAGGTATATGGAAAGCAATCGACAGGGCACGTGGGAGACCTCATTCGTAACTCCAAATATCGACAAAGACTAGTAAATTTGCTTAAATATATCTGACCTATTTACCACAAAGAATAGAAATGAAAATTACCAAATATAGCACTCACCTCAGGGTACGTTGTTAGCGGAGCAGGTGGACTTGTTTATGTTCCCTTTTTTGTAACAATGAATCTGAAAGGAATCATGACGATAAAAAGTTAGTTCTTCTAAAAGTGTAAGATTGGCTAACTATACGCTTTGATGATAACTTACAAGCAGATCAGTCAAGCGCAAAGTGCGCTTCAATCGGGATGGCAAAAGAAACCTTGAGGGCATTAAGATATCACTGAAATATCAAGCAACATGCTATGTCATCATGTTTTATGTCTATGCTGTTTTCAAAAAAGGGAATACCCTGCTGTCTTTTACAAATGCACAATTTACTGAACTCGCTTCTTTCACGTGCCAAAGAAACTTTGGACCCGGCCACGCTCTTCGTAAGATTGTTACAATACTGTCAGCACGATTCCTTTCTCCAGGAGATCAATCTCACAAAGAAATGTACGACAATGTGAAAGTACCTACCCAGCTTTGTAGCCCACGTGAGACTTGCTCCGCTTAACTTTCGAAAGGGCGCCTATACAAAGCTAAAACTATTTTCGACCTTGTGCGCTTGAGGTCTAAATTAATGCTTTAAAGACCGACTTGCTTTGAGCATGAGAAAAGCAGTGAAAACCATTTAACATCCAACTAAAAATATATGTCCTGGAGGGATTAAAGTTAAACACCGGATAACCTTTTAAAAATCGTTCATCAAATAAATGCGACAGAATACGCATAAAGCTGAGGTATACGTCAGTACGATATTTTGCCCTCCACAGTTCCTTTTTCCTTCATAGGATTTATAGGATCGAGAAGAATGTCTCCCAGGGACCGTAAAAATTTGCGTGTAATCGTCAATACTTAAAATAATATACTTAACTCAACATCAGAAACACGTTTCGACAGAAAAACTATACTCTGTTATACTTTGCTCAACTGAGAGGTAACATTAACTCTTAAGACTAACGCTTGAGACGTCACCCAGCTTTAGTAGAAACTCTTTAGAACTGCATTATCATCTCACTTGATAAAACCAAACTATCTTATGATACCCCCTACCGACGCAATACCACAGCTTCTTTAAATTTACCCCCCTTTATTCATGAGAGGTACTATGGTTACACAGTAGTATCCTCTCCACTGGTATGAGAGATCATCATCAGAATTAAACGGCCGACGATTTTTTGGACCATTTTCAAGTAAAGACACAGACACTTTCCTTACAACAGAATGGGACTTTGGAAAAAATGCTTCGAACAAAAACACCGAAGAGGAAATAGAATGAACACGCACTGTACTAAAATTACCCTTTGAAACATTTTGGATACACGTTAACCCCACAAATAGTGCGTACATTACAAAAGGAATTTTTTACATCGGTTTGTTGAAAAAATAAACCTCATCTTTATCATATATGATATCTCGAAATATAAACCCAACAATCCACTTTCATTTCACGCCCAGCATAAATCCAATCACGTGCCCCTCAACTAGTTTCGTCTAGGAACCACGCAATCAAAGGTAAGAATTTTGTTTGCAAGCGGAGACAGAAAAGCAGGAGATAATTTAAAACAGGGAGCTAGTTAAAGACAAACAGAATTTCGAGGAAAACTCTCCCCTCAGTTAAATATTTTCGATACCAACTACAGAGTTCTAGAAATGCACTACATTCGGCCGATAATAAACAATTGATTTTTAAGCTCATACCTTTGAGGTCCTCCCTGGATTGGTCGGTCTGTTTGCGATTGAGAAGTACTCAACTAGAATATTTGTATAGGCGATATAAATAGTTTGTACGTCAAAGGCTTGGAATTACATTTTGTAAAAGAAACAAGGGGGTAAATCTTGCCCCTTTCTGAAATTTTCTGACGCATCTTTCTATTAGCTAAACATAACTGTTAGCTAAGTAGTTTATTACTGTACAATATCAGAAGTTTCCCAAGCGGTAAAGGACTGCTTTCGTAATCCGATCGAGGTACGTGAGAGATTTTGAGGACTTTTGGCGGCTTTACCGCCTAAAAGCATAACCACTAAGTAATTAGTACAACTACTAAGTAATCGGAGCTAAATGCAATTACAGATCGGTAATTTACTACTCATTAGTTCTTCCTGACGCTACACCCATAAAGAGCCTGCACGTCCGACGGCAAAGAATTATGTAAAGGACGAACTCAATACTCGAACTGTGTTCACGTTAAGTTTTGTTCAAAGGGTACTAGAATTTAAATCTCATTAGAGTGCTTTTCAAATACAATAGTTTCGAGTTTTCTTTTTCAACCATTCCGAGTACCGAAATGGGATAAAATACATGGCGACAATGGATCTAAGGCTCTCCCTTGGCTCGCACACTGCTAAGGAGACAAAACTGTCTCTTTAATGACATGAGTAACAAGAAATAGTCTTTGAAACGAAATAGGGTTAAAATGGTTAAAAGCTGTACGTTATTTTTAGAACAAGGCATACTTCAAATATCAAGCTGGGCTGTTAAATATCGCTCATCGTCTGAGAGGAATCAAGAAATCAGGCAAGAGGTAATAATTGTATTCATTTGTTGTCTTTTAAAGAACTTCGATGACCAGAGCTTAATGTGACAGTTCTGTTAGTATTCGACAGAAAGGATTGTCGATGGCATTAGTGCAGCTTGAGCTGTTTTTGCTTGTTAGAGCACACTTCTTAATTATCTGAAAACCTGACGCATTTGTTGGCTTGAATGTTATGGGATAACACGAGAGGGCAACACAATCACATGACATAAATCTGCTATTCTTTAAAACAAATTGAAAAAAAAAAAAAAGAAAAAAAAGAAACTTAACACAAAGGTTAAATTGCGTAAAGCACAATATAATTGTTGAACAATTGCCATAGCATTATTGATTGACTTTGATTTTATCTACCTGATCAATGGCAAGTATTTTCGTTTGCAGTGTGATTAAAAGTTAGCAATTCAAAAAAATTAATGTTTTATAGCAAACGGTTACATCCTCTACTTACTCCTTATAAGCTGAGATGAATCCGACGGCTAGTGTTGTCGTTGCTATAAACTTGTATTGATTGTTAATCTTAAAAAGACTTTCCTTGGACACAGATCAAATTTTTGATGACAAGTACTTCTCTTTTATGAGCCATGTCGAATATCCGGAAAAACATGGACTTTGTCTAATGTTGGTGGAAACGGAACAGCGACAAAAGTAGATGGTAAACGATCCAAACATATGAAGTTCAGAAGTCTACGTGCGGCAAGTGAAAAAGCGATTAGAGCCACGTTACTGAGGCAAGAACAACTCGTCAACACACGAGCTCAACATGTATGACGATATCATAACAGAAAAAATTCTTCAAGCGACTACTCATTATAATGAAAGACAGATCAGCCAATCGTAGTCCAGCAAAAGCGAATACCAAACGTAGACGGTCCAAACGACGCGATTCTTATCTAGGATTCTATTATTACTTAACAAAAAAAAGATGACAAACTCGAAAATTTCGTCTGGAATCGAGTATTACATGTATATATTTAATAAATTCTTGTTCAGTATGTCTTTGCCGGCTTTCCGGTGATTTAGACAGATCCGCTTTCTGTCAGCGGATGACACAGAAATCAAAGGTCTCCCTTTTATAACAAGGGACCTTCAGCAAAGCGGTTAGTTAGATTTTTCTTTAGAAGATCGTTTTCTTTGCTTTTCTCGTGACCGTGGGAACCGTCCCAAGGTTTAATATTGCGAGACAAACGATCAATATAAATTATTGACTTTTTGATGATGTTGCATGTACAATCAGCTGCACATTCCTGACAGTTTACTTCAGCTGACATTACTTTTACCATTACATGTGGTAGATAAGTCCTTTCGCAACTTTTCATATCTAATTTAGTCCGCTAGCATACCAATCTGATAGACGTTTTGAACAAGTAACATCATTCATGGTACCATAAAACTAAGCTAACGTTCCCAATATCATCTCTCATTTAAGCCGTCTCCATGTTGATGTCGTTTAGTGACATTTGAAAGGCTGCTGAATCGAACTTCTAACCATCACAAAAATCCTTCCAAGAGAAAAAAAGAAGTCGCAAAAAAAATAAAGCATTTTAAGTAACCTTTTAAACGAATTGAGAAATCATTTAGATTCCAATGATAATTGGGGTTCCTTAGGTTTAAGAAATCTCTAAGACGACGTGTTAATCACGTCCTGATATGAAACTCATAAATCCAGCAGTATCGTAAATAGAACACCGATAACTATCGCTCATGGCTTCCACGCCACGGCGTAACTTGGTTGAGAGCCCTTGTAAACGCGATTAAAAAAAGATTACGTGCATCGGAAAAAATACCTCGACATTCAGGAAACCATAGATTTTCACACAAAGAAAAAAGGATACAAGCTAACTGCCATATTACGTAGGAGACCAAAGGGCTGAAGGGCGCCTTATTCAAAAAAAAAAAAAAGAAAAAGACCGGAAACACTTCAGTAATTATATCACAGTGAAACTACATTTTAGCTAAGTACAATTAGGTAAATATAGAATTTTACAGCTGTAGACGTTGACTAACCATTCATATCCACAAGGTCACAAAGATTGCATTACGTTTGAATCCTCTCAAGGAGAATTCGATTGGTTTAATTGTATTATCAAGCTCCGTTCGAAACGGCTCGTTCAATTAAGACCTCGCTAAACTTCACAGCGTCCCATTATTCTTCCATTACTAATACCGAAACGATGAGCCCTTAAAAATTAGTTTCACATTTTCGAAATTGAATTGTGATTACGTCAAAAATATGTATTTAACTGGCTACAGCCTATTACCTATCTGAACAACAAAACGTATGTTTTAGTCAGTTGCAATACGTTGAAAGCGACTTACACGTTCCTTTTCATAGCTACTACTATGTTTTACTTGGATGTAATCCCTCCCGAAATCGAACGGGATGAGCCGGCCATGACAAGCGCCAATCGCAGGCCCTTATAATTTGGTATTTTGCAGTGTGGACTCAAAAGTTGATTCACCATTCCTTTATCTGACGCAAGTGAGAACAGTTAGTCTGCTTGCATATGACGGTTTATCCAGTCACGATACCTCTCCGTATAGGTGTACACACTATATTTGCCAGGCAGTCCGCAGCCTTGTCCCCAGCTATTAATTCCACCAACAAACCACTTTCCTACCGAATTCTGGCACACGAGAGGGCCTCCACCATCTCCGTAACAGTTGTCTTCGCCACCCTTCTCATACCCGGCACAAATCATATTATCTTTCACAAGACCACCGTATGCATTGACTCCGTTACAGACCTGGCGGGAAACAACGGGCACTCTTTGGGACCTCAGCGGGGTAGATGTATGATGGACGTTGGCCGGCCTAAAACCCCAACCTGCTACAGCGCACTTGCTCTCGAGCTGTAGCTCTCCTTCATCTGGTAGACATATCGTTTCCACCAAATCGTTCAATTGTGCTGCTCGCTCAAGGTATACTAGAGCGATATCATTCTCGTTTGTTGACGGGATATATGATGAATGAACATATATTTTTTCTGCTCGTATATTTTGCTCAGAATTTTCCTTTTTCGCGAGATCAAACTCTCCAGCCCGTATGACCCACTGAAGAGGTTGTTTAAACCTGCAAACGAAAGTCTGTGGTTTATTGACTTTTTCTTTACAGACAGTAAAAGTCTTTCAGGTAAACGGCCAAAATCGGCCTATGGCAAATCTTCCAGTTGTCGATTTTCGTTTTCAGCCGCGAGAAACGCCATTTCCAAAGCCACCGAACACGTAACTTTCGGTTTTTATTTTCGTACATTGGTTTCATCTTCCCTTCTAGGAAAGTTTGAAAGTCACCGTCTGTGAGCGATACGGATTTTTAAATGTTTTAGCCGCCATAATTCAAGAACGTTCCGACAAACTACTTTGTATTGAGAATCGTGAAGGCTTTTCCATTCATTCAACAACCTGATCGAGTGGCGCGAAAAGCGAGTGACGTATCAGCAGCTGATTGGCGATATAAAACACACGTGAAAAAATATCGTATTTTTCCACATGTGTTATTACGGCTTTTCTCATGGCTGGAAATCCTTGTATAACACCATAGTTTATATGATAAATCTTCATATTAAATATTTTCTATTTTTAAGGAGGCACCCTTTTCACCTGTAGCTGAAAAAACGAGCACCTTTGAATAAATTTTTAATACCTCTTGAAGCAATGGGCTGCGGTGAGTACCCATCGAGGAGCAAGGAGAGCGCCGCCACACTGCTGAACAGATTGTCCCATAAGCAGAAGAGCTACCTGCCAGGGCCATCGGCCAGGCCACTGCTTTGGTAAATCTCCATCGGACTCCCACGGAGAGACAGAATATTTTAGATTACCGCATCCTGGAGAGATAAGGAATCAGAGAATTGCAAAACGATCCGATATTAGTATAGGGAGTAATATGGGCTTTTGATGTGAAAATAAATAAAAAAAAAGTGGACATTCAAAATCGTTGTCAAGTCATAACACACTTTGAAAATTTGTTATTTACAGGTAGCTCTTTAAAATTATGAATCATCACAAATCTTAAATTTAACCATTTTTTTACCACCCAGGTAAAAATCATTAAATCTCATCTTTATCGTTCTCGAACATTTAAGACAAAATATGACCATTGATAAACTTATCACCAACAGTCATTTTCCGGGTGAACAGACTTATGAAATTCTTCCTGCGCTTTTACCTGTCAATGATAAAACGTGTTTTATTGTTATTTCATGGTGACCAACCATTCTCCCTAAACGAAAGCTGCATTTAATATCAATTTGGTTACACAGGAACAATAAACGTTTCAGGCTTTGTACCCCTAGTTCATTTAAGTAACAGGCAAACAAAAGAACTCGCCATTGTAAGTATACCTTTCTTCCCTTCATCACCCTGAGAAGACTTAGAAGGACCGTCGTGATAAGTCATGCCAACTTTGGTTTTTATATCACCTGACACCACATAACGCACCCAGAGACCGTTTCCCGAGGATTGCACGGGAGCAGGTATCTTGTCTCCGCAATACCTTCCTATCAGAGGAGCGTGTTTAGTAAGGCCGTTTCTGATTTCAACGTAGTCTTTCATACATGAAGGATCGCTTTTTAAGAAATCAAAAGTTATAAACTTCAGCGTTACTGTGCTCTCCGCCCTTGAAGAAGTGACATGCCACTGGCAATCTTTTCTGCTGGGCGGATTTGATTCACCACTCATACGATGGCCAACTGTTGAGCACTCGGTTGCGGATCGCGATTGGTCTGTATAGTGTATGATTAGCAATCAAGTGAGATACAAGATTAATAACCACAGAAAAACAAATCTCACAGCAAAACGTATAGTGCTAAAAATACTAAAAAAAATGACAGATCCTTATAGACTTATTATCGAGAACTCACGATCCAAAACAAGAGGCTTAAAAAGAACTGATGTTCGACGTTTTAGACTAGAAATACTGACCTGTCATACACCCGTACAATTCTGTTCGCATAGAAACAAAGTTACGTTTAACCATTGGCCAAAATCGGAGCGTGCTTGACTTAATGGTGTTCCATAGAGTGTGAGATATCACTGAATTCCTGTCTTTATTTCCATGAAATACCTGAGGAATGAATAATATAAATTCGTTTGAAGACAGTAAAAATCTTTTCATGTCTTTAGCGTTATTTGTTCATTCATTCGTCATTTATCACACCGTATACACACTGCAAGCGTAGACACGTCTCTGTTTGTTTTAGTTAAAAAAGATCAAAAACACACGGGAGCACCAAACTTTTACATGAGAGACGAAATGATACAATTGATTTTTATAGCGATCAATCTATGAACTATAGGACTTGACGATGATGAAAATGAGCTTAGTCTCATTTTAAAACAGTATTTACGGTTAACATGTAATTATCACCTTGTTCTTCCAAAGGACGGCTGAAGTCTTCACATGACGAGGAACGGAATAATTACGCCAAACTTCTTCTTCACTTTTCCATGACACTCGGTACTTCTCCACCCACTGATCAACGGATCCTCCATAGCCTTGTGTTGCCACCCGCGTTATTATAAAAGGGTGCTTCAAGTTTACTTGAAACCAAGGGGAACGATCCTCTACGCTTGCCGTCCAACCTTGAGGCCAGCGATTCAAATTGAGCCTTCCTCTCTGGGCACCGAACTTGTCATGATCATCCTCCCAAGCGGAAGAGGCTGTTAGCTGTTCGTCTTCAATAATGTCCGGGTCTTCTATCCCAAGAGGCTCTTGACATTCGTCTGCATATGACAAAAAACAACAACAACAACAGCAAAAAAGGATAATAAAACCATTCTTATAAACTGTTAACGTGCGCAATAATACAACAAATTGGGCAAAGAAGTATAGCTAGCTTTCCACATAAAAAAAGGGAGAACTTCGTAACCGACCTCGCTCACGGTGGAGTCTCTGTGGCTCAGTGGTAGAGCATTGGAACGCGGAATCCGAAGGTCTGAGGTTCGATTCCTCATGGGGACTCAGAATTTTTTCTTTCTCCCACGTTAGTGACAAGACGAAAAACATCTTCCTTTAAGGTTAACTTAGTTGTGAATTTGAAGTAAAAATGAGCGACAATCAAAAGTAGTAGGCCGAATTGAAATTCTCTTATTAATGTTACAATAATGGCTTACCAAATTTACATCCATAGAGTTCTAATCGCAAGCCCACACCACCTTTCCAACTTCTTGGTTGGATTTTTACTTCTTTAGAAATGAAGGGCTCCTTCAGCATATGGCGGACAATCGTGTTGTGATCACTATTACCATCTAAAACCTGTGAGTCAAACATAATTAAAACGTTCACCAGAAAGACAATGGCTTGGGTGCCCTGTATAACCTTGAAGATACTAGGGCTTTGGTTAAGATACGAAACTTACCACTTTGATCAAACCGAATAAAGAAACTATAATCATAACTCAATGAATCAGCCAGCCGTAATTAAGCTTGCAAGAAACAAACAAGCAAAAAATCATAAAAATAGTGCAATAATAATAATTAAAAAAGGGAGGCCTGAAATAATAATAATAGAAAAAACATGCCTGTAAATTTCTTATAAAATTCGGCACGTGAATCGAGCCGGTGTTTCATCGAAGTTACTGGTGGAGCCATTTACTGTGTGAAGTGAGGTTGTGTATCTCAAGCAAAAGGGTACTTCTTTTTGCTGATACATATCACGAGTAGTAAACCATATGTAAAAAATATGAAAAAAAACCACCATCGGTACAGAGTCATTCTGTCACCTACCTTCACTTTTCCATCTTCGTGATAATACACCTCTCCAGCCTTGCTGTCAAGCCAAAGCAAATAATAGCTCTCAATCCATTCACTGAAAACTGGATTACCATAACCTTGCGTTGCAATGCCAGTAATTACATAATCCGATTGAAACGTGACTTTGAGCCAAGGATTTTGGTCAGTTATATCAGCACTCCAGCCTTGGGGCCACTTACTGTTATTGAGTCTTGCATGCTGCGGACCGAAGGTGCTTATGCCCATCCACGTGGAAGATGACGACAGCTGTTTATTTTTTATTTCACCGGATTCAAGACCTAGTGCATCGCCGCATTTTTCTAAAAAAGACATCGTTTATGTAAATATATATATATATATATATATATGGGTAATGAAACTAAAACAGGATTGGACTCAAACAGAATAGTAACGGTGTTTATTCTCGGAGTTACTGCAAGGGAGATTGGAACAGTTTTTAAACTATGAGCCAAGAGACACAATAGAGTATTGCAACCGGTACAAGATTAATAAATTCGAAAACCCTATCAAAAAATAAGCAATAATCAGTTGGCTCTATAACAATGTATTCTTCACCTAATATTGTGAACAAAAGAAATCGCATCGTTCATGATGAAAAATAAATTAGCAATTAGTGGAAATACTACTCAAGCGATATGTTGATTTGAGAAACAGTTAGGCTAACACGCATATTAATGTTATTACTAAAAACATTATTTAAGATGCAGCTGAGAATCACGTAGACATTCTTTAAAAAACGGTTTATGTGTGAGGGCGTTGAAAACGTCTCATTCTCAATTTGTTGAAGACTAATTGAAAACTTAGTAAATTTTAAAAATCACCTTAGGCAACGAGAAAAGCTAATGCATTTGAAGAGTAGTTTTTATCGCTCGATTCAGTATATTACTGTCCCCTGTGTATACGTATGCTTGTTAGAATCCAACGGAGAATTGAACTGGCATATTATCATTGGGTGGAACTTACTTGGTGGATGAGGAACAGATCCCGTCGAAGGCTTCCCACTAGGTTTCATAGGTTTTAATGTTTGCTTCATAGTAGTCCACGTTGCTTCAAAACCCTTACTTCCCGTTCCAATTGTATAATAACGCATCCATAATGTATCCGTAGAACCTCGCACCACCATCGGTGCAGAAATGCAATAGCGTCCTAGCAGACGAGACGTCTCTGATGGCCCGTCCCTCAATTCCACGTACTCCGTAACACAGTTATCGTCACTGTTCAGATCAAATTCGTTAAAACCAACGGCAATTTTGTTTCCTTCGTATACAGATATAACCCATACACAGTCAACAGGCCCTTGGGCACCAGAGAAGGCAGGATAGTATGGTGAGAAGATGTCACCACTTGGACGCATACGTTTTCCACCACACGGCTCTTAATAAAGTAAAAGACGATTATTAAAACCGTTATATCTTTACAATGAATCACACAATTGTTTGTCATGTCATTTAGTGCAAAAAATAATGCGCTTATAGGCGGTAACAGGACCCGTATCTCATCGTTACTATAAATGTCTTGGACCGCCATTTATCTACGGGTAACTTTTATAGAACCAGTTTTCATCTAGTCACTCTCCCAATGGAATGTCGCCCACCTAGTCAATGACTTTTGTCAACCTGAAGAATAAACATTTCATTTTGCAAATGAGAGGGACATGAAATGTGGCAGGAAGTTTACGCTTAGTGGATATTCAAAATATTTGGAGAAATAAATCATACTTACCAATCACGTTTACTTCGGTTGACGGAGATTTAGTGCCTAGAACTGGATGGGCATACCAGTATGCCTCAAATCCTTTGTCTGTCACGCTCATATCAGACTTAAAGAAAACGGTCATTTCACTGGATGTAGAGTCTACCACCGGCTTGCTTGAGTTGCCACAAAATCTCCCGAGAGTAGTTGGAGAAGTCGGGAGGCCATCCATAACGAGCACAAAATCATACTGGCAGCTTGTGCTCTTCTCCACTTGCAAGTACATGAACTCTAAGCGTATTTTGTATTGTGGTGATAGTTTTATGACCCACTGACACATTACATCCTCTGGATACTTTTTGGGATAGCGAGGGCTCTTTATAACGCCAGACATTTTTGTGAAAGTACCACCACAAACTGTAGAGTAATAGATGTGAGAAGAAATTTGTTTCGGTGCCAAAAAAATTTCAACCAGCCTATCGTAAAAATAAATTCAGTAATTGACTGATTATTTCCAAAGAATAACGATATTTCCTAGGAATTCCAATGAATATCTATAGTTAAATTCACCCTTTGTTTGCGTGATTTTACTTACCGGGGTCCCCATCTGACGTCGGTGCAGGCCCAGGTGGTAGCGGCTGTCCTTCAAAAGCGTGCCATTTAAGCTGAAATCCCCGTTTTGGAGTTAAACCGTCCGAGTGAAACTTAATGTACATTGCGTTTTGAGAAGATTTGACGGGGGAAGGAACTACATCTCCACAGAATTTCCCAAGCAAGGGCATGTCTGATCTATCGCCATCCCTGACCTCCAAATAGTCATACAGGCATCTGGATTGTCTTTCGAGTTGAAATGATCTGAATTCTACCTGGATGACCTGATTACTTGGCGCCAAAATTACCCAAATGCAATCTAGGTTTAGTGGATATTGGTTAGGGTAACCTGGGCTGGTTATTTCACCGTTTTCTTGATTCAAAATTCCTCCGCACTCTGTGGATAAAAACAAATTACTTAATAACGTACATAAAAAGTAAAAAAATACATATGAAAAGAAAAATGAGGAGAAAAAGTAAGGAAGTATAGAATTAGGTATGAAGGTTTGACGACTGGAGTTTCAGCAAAAAACAAACAAACAAACAAACAAACATCTATCAAATAAAAAAGGGGAAGAATGCGTGTTAATACACAAAAATGGTTTACTCTAAAATCATAAAAGGTTGACTGCTCGCTAACGGCAATTAATTTCGAGTTCAGTAAAAATTAGAAATCTAGAAAATAACAGAAAATATTGCTCACTTTCAGGCGGTGCAATTGAAGGTGTAGCTTTGGTGGTTGTGGACGACTGAGCCGTTTGATTTGCAGGAATGTAATGAGTTATCCTTCTCCATGTAGCCCTAAAACCTTTCTCATTGACTGTTCCATCAGTGACAAGTCTTATAAAAAGGGAATCTCCAGTTGAATTGAAAGGTGAAATGATCGTACTTGCGCAGAATTTTCCAATTATTTCAGAGAAGCGAGTGCTACCTTGTCTAACTTCGACAAAGTCATAATTACAACTTCCGGAATTTTCTAAATGAAATTCGTGAAAAGTAAGCTCAATCGTGTCTTGGAGAGGCACAACTATTGTCCACACACACTCGCTGTTCTTTGAGTACGATTCAGGATAGTTGGGTGATGTAAAATTCCCACCATCACCAGTCATTTGGCCACCGCATCCTGAAGAAAAATTAATGATTAAATTAATGAAGAGACAATTTCATGAGAAAGAGAAAACGAACAATTTAAAGCGAATAACTTCCAAAATAGAAGGAAAAAAAAGCATCCTACACATCAGTCCTTAAAGAGTCTGTTACAAAATCAACAAGGAAATGCATTTATATGTGCTCTTTAGGTGCCTCGTGACAACGAGCTTTCATACGGGCCTCATCATTTCGTCCACTTTCTCTACATGTTCACGAATAAGAGAGGCAATTATACCGAAACATTCCTAATGAACGACGAAAAATTACCACCGGTCCAGGTAGACTGGTAACCATGCAAGAGCCACTAACGCAAAATACAGAAGGCCCGTAGAGACATTTCAGCGTTGACCACGATTAAGCCTCGCTGAGGCAGTGCTGGTAGATATTTTAAGATTTCGAACAAATATCTGCAATCTGCGCTTTGCAGCAGTTTCCAAAGAATTTTAGTGTGAAAAAGAGCCAGATAAATGAACAAACCTGTAGGCATAGTAGGCGTAGTCACTTTTTCTTCGGTACCTGGTGGTGGCTTTTCGGAAAGCTTTTCTGCCTTCCACATTGCTTTGAAGCCCTGTTTGGTAGTGGACGAATCTGATCGGAAACCAATCCAAAGGAAATTGCCCGTAGAGGTAATGGTGGCTGGTCTGCTTGTGCCGCAAAACTTCCCAATCATAGGGCTTTTGGAGGTCGAACCATCCCTTACAATAACGTAATCGTATTGGCAAACAGGGTTGTCTTCCAGGGCAAACGTTTCAAAAGTAAGCACGACTTTGTCACCCGGTTCGGTTTTAACAACCCATGCGCAAACTTTATCCACTGGGTAGTCCAAAGGATAATTTGGTGTCTGTATGATACTACCTCTCCCTTCGATAAGTCCGCCACAGTCATCTGAAAGAAATCAGTACAAGCCGATAAGTTTAGTTTCAACCTTTGTATGTGCCGAATAATTTTTGTTCTTACTTAAAGGTGTGATAATTTACCTCTAGCGATTTTTGATTCAAAATGTATAAATATTGTCGTAACAACTTAGATGCAAAAATAGCCTGATCTGAACAAAGCAGAAGCAAATGAAATGAAGACAAAACAGAGAAAATAATTAACTTATCAGTACACAAACCCGCTCTCAATAGAATAAACAATCCTGGAGAAAGCAGTTGGGGGTTTAAATGAACAAAGTGAGGGTGATAAAAACAACGTAATTAGGAATTGAAAAAATTGATTGCATTATTATTCTCACTATACCTTTCAAATAATGCAAAACGTGCTAATCTTAATCCACCTTCACAATATATCTTGGGCGAATGCAAAATGAAAAGAAATATTTTTTGAGACGAGGTGCGTTAACACCTATTTCAACGCAGAGAGATACAATCAGGCTGCAAATTTGCCTTTAAAACCACACGCACTCTTCCCGAGATATTTCAGCTCTAACCGAAGACAAAACTTTGCGAGAAATTCCGCAATATTCTAGGTAAAATTAAGTCCTAGACCATTGGGACAAAAAAAAAAAGGATAAGGAAACAGAATGCACTGGGTGGCCTCTTACAAGAGTTACTCCTAAGCACATATCTACTAAGCATTAAGACATCGATAACGGCTTTTGTTATTTAATTAGGAAAACCAAGATTAGCTTTATCAAGAGTTCAATGTTGTCCTTGAGTAGCATAGTGCTATAAAGTCAGACGTGTAAATCAAGTGAGGCCAGATATGCGACGATAAACTAAATTAGCGTAGCATACCTGGCCTCACTTGATTTACACATCTGACAAGATTATCTTGTTTGCGCAATTCTTTAACTGAGTTTTTTGCATTTCTAATATGCCCCCACTGAGCGAGTTATCCTTCTGATCGACCATACACAAAGGTTTCGATTAATTCAATTTTAAACGAACATTCTGCCCTAAAAGTTCCGTTTGAAGGATGTCTTCTAGCTTTAAAATTCCCACACGACATTTGACTTGTATAGTTAAAATGAGCAGTGCAAATATCAAAATTGACTTGTGTGCAGGCCTCTTACTGAGCCATTTATGCACTTAAATCTAAAACAGTTTTCAATGAAGGACATTTCAGGTGTGATTAATTATATTGACGGGTCATGTTGAAAGTCACGATGAGCGGGAGGATGGAGCGACCCGACAGACAAGTGAAAAACAGTATAGATTACAAAGGAGTAACCGACTTTGAAGTGTTTCGGTTATAATATTTCACGAATGTTCCAGAAGGGTGCACCTGCGATTTAGGGTAGCGCTAATATTTTCCCTCTCAGACCAAGAGATTCGCTTGCAAACATGTACTTGACAAATTCAAACTCTATACTGTATTTCGGGAGAAGACATCAAATTTCTGTTCAATCTAGCTTGACACATACCAATAACTCCTTTACACTGGACACTGGGGTGCCCTCCCCCTAGTTTCGAAGGATCAGGCTGGAAATTTACAGAATACCTCGACCTCGGTGAAAAAACAGAAAGACCGCAATACGACTATATTAAAATCTTAAGTGCCGATCAAACATCTCAATCAGTAGACATTATCACGCAAAATGTATTACGCCTCCTGGATGTTGCTTTTTCAAATCTACTTTCTATTAACACACTTTTAAAATCTGATCTGACACCTTATTGCTACCTCCTTTCATGGCTTCATATCATCAACACGATTCGAAAGATGAATGTTACAAATGCTAATTAAGGGTTGAAACTTACTACTCGAAACGAGTAACTTACCAATGAGTTGTGCTTGACCACCTGATAACAGATAAACAAGACAAGATTGACGTTAGTGTCAACGAAGGACATAGCATGCAAAAGAGTTCGTCTCTCGGTATTTCAAATATACGCGTCGAAAACGTGCCGCTCATCTCTACAATACTTGTGGTGGATATTAACGCAACTTTAAACTGTAAACATGAATTGTTCACTCGCGATCCCAACTTTGACAGCAAATTTATCAACTCAAATTATTATTACTACTTAATTTCGATTGTTAGCTGCCATAAAGCACTCGAGAGCAGGCACGTTGGAGCAGAACTTTCCTTTTAATGATGTCAAGGAAGATATTTGAAAACTAGATGGAAAATGATTATCGAACTTTCTCTAAATGTAAACCTTGAGATCACTTGTCAATCCTTGGACTACGAACTCACACTTTTATTTTGAGTTACACTGTAAACATTTCTTAAACATGTCACGTGCAGTTGAGCTCTACGATGACTTCTAAATGTTATCGTTAATAAGCGCTAACTGGAAGAAACGACCCGAAATATTAAAGGAAAAGAAACATACAAGGCGTGTACCGGGCATATTTGCTTAGGCTGCGACTGAATTTTACCAGAAATCGATGTTGACGTGGTAAAGTGAAAGTTGATTAACATTTATAAAAGGAGGTGAAACAACATACCTTGCCAGTTGACCACCAGGGCGAGATTGACAAGCAGAAGTACTAGAAAAAATGTTTCTTCCATGGTCCCAATGTTAGAGGAATTCGAGAAACACTGAAGGAATGCCAGGTGTAAGTCCGTCTATGTTGAGTGCTCTGCTATTACTTCATTTATGCAGATGCGCACTGGAGCAAGGATTTCATAAGAGGCTTTGAGGTCACTTTGGTATTCTCACATATATTAATCAATCGGAAATTTTCAATGACCTTCTAAACGGATCCTCCGTCCGACCAATCAAATGCGCTTATCACATAACAGACACTCGTACTCCAGTCATCACAATTTACATAAAAACACACGCTGTCTACACAAGCGGAACTGCTCGTATTTGCCGTAAGGAATATTTGTCGATGACTTCTAAATGTCATTCTGTGGTCGAACAACGTGGTTTCAACTATTAGCTCTATTTGCAATATAACTCTTCCCACCGGAAGAGTTCGAAAGAACAACACAAAGCGTTGTATCGCGAGATTTTAAGTTAATATAATCATTTCGTTGAGTTAATCATGTAAAGGAACGTGTTTACTTTCTTTTGAACCAAACGAGCTTTTGGGAAGAAAAAATAACAAAGGTGCGACAGGAAGTTCTTTGTTTTAGTCTGTAAATTGGCGAGAATTGCAGCAACTTCTAAAGGGTCGCCGCGGAGCTGACTAACGAATCGCCAGAAAGTGTCTACATGTTCTTGCCCATTTATTCTGTTCAAAGAATTGAGATGCCAAGTAGGAGTCACCAAACTACAAACAATAGCATGAACTCCAGAAGGTTTCCGTTTTTCCTCCGCAGCTAAATGCCTGATTACACTAATTTGAACGAATCATGAAATTTATGTATTTTGTCGAGATTTCTTGTTGCTCTTCGCTTTTTGAAGCAAATGTCGGACCAATGTTGAGGTCTAAAGATCACGAACTATGCTCGATGTGTATTATATTTGTCAGGATTACGGTAACTAAATTGGAGGGCGAAGTTTATATAATCCGACTGGAAAATGGTAAAGGCGGTGTAGGGCTAGGGCCAATACTAATGATCGTTCGCTTTGGGAGAAATACAATAACCATTGTCAAATTACACGAGTGGGTGTATACTCCACAAAAATGCAAGAGAGCAGTTGAGAGATAATAAAAAAAAGAAAAAATTTAGCAACACCTCCAACAGGTACACTTCAATTTCGTCCCTTTGAACGTGTAAATAGGCGTTGACTCGCGAGGCGTCTGTATTCATTCGGTTAGAGTTTCGAGCACGAAGACTGTCTTCCGCCACCTATCTCTTTTGTGGGGCTGACTAACAGAAAAAGAAAAAGCGAAAAGCTGCGCAGTGAAAAATGTATTGAAAGGCCGAATAAAAATTTTCCGCGTTCTGACTGATGATGCGCATATTAGAAGAAAATATCTTTCAAGTGGACATGTCTCCGAAGGAAAACACACCCAACCGTGAGGTCACGGAAAGGAATGAATCATCGACAAGTTAAGTACTCTTCTAAACCACAAATATCTTCTTACTAAGTTTAAAGACTTCCTTGTAATCTTTCAAATATCTCACGATGTTGATAGATGTGCAAAATGAAGGAAGTTTTCGTAATACAAACGATTTTTACAAATCATTCTGAAAATTTCACTGCTAATTTTAACAATCCACAGTGACAATGACTGAGAAACATTAAGAGCTATTAAGGATTAGACACATTCCTGTAGAGAATTAATCTACCTCCAAAATGGGATAGAGAAACAAATTTCGAATAATGTGTCTCTTTTTGCAAGCTTTGTGGCATATTTTCTTGTACTGAGATTAGTGTAGGAGGATCTAAGAGTGATGCAACAATGTAGGATAACCTCTCACTACAGTTTTAACAACGTATCATACTTGGTGCAGTATGTTGTTGCTTCTTAGTGAAGTCCATGCGACTCCTTCGAAATGAAGAATTCACCAGATGCTGCTTGCAAGGACTCTGAAGACCAAGCTTAACTCTTGGGGGAGTATGGGGTTCAACGATGTCCCAAACATGAGGATTTGGAACGGCAATAGCCAGCAAATTTGCCGCATCAAGATGACCTGTCCACAGGGAAGACGAATTTAACAACATTCCAAAAGGTCACGATGGCAATGTAAATGCAGTTAAAAGATATGAACAAACAAAGGGATAAAAAATCGAAATATCAGAGGTCAACCTTAATCACGTAATCAATGCTTTATGCGTCGCGGAACCCTTTTTTGTTATTTCCAAAGTAAATTGTCTAGTCGACTAGCCTTGGGATAACACCTAATCGTGTTAGAAATATAAATTTTTCTTTCCTACGATCCGTGGTGAGGAATAAAACAAACCACTCTACTAGTTTTATTAAATTCCGAACGCGGAAAAAGCGCTTTATTGAACGTACGTTTTTAACTACATAGCGATATAATCTGCACCCCACGTTTCAAAACATGAAATCTGGAACCACACACGACCAGGGACTTACCACTATTTATTGCAAAGTCCATGGGGTAGATTCCGTCGTTTGTACAAAGACTCTTATCTGCACCTAATAATTCCGAAAAAAGAGTGCTATTCGCGTCAACAAGTAAAACATTTCGCACATGCCAGAAAAGGTTAGGGAGAGAGTTGCTTAGGGTTAGGTTTATATTGTCAGCGACTTAAGCGTTATTTAGAACGAGTTCCAAAAAAAAACCACTGTTATCTTTGTCGTAATTTAGACACTCAATTTCATAAATTTGACGCACGTGAATGTATTGAAACCTTCCCGATGCCGGGAAATCGACAAAACTTACAAAAAAAGCTGTGAGGTTTTGGTTGACGTGCACGTGTAGAAAAGAAGACGCCGAAAATGATGCAGAAAGAGGAGGAGGAGACAAAGGACAATTTTTGTGGTGCGCCATGAATGAGTTTTTCCGTGATAACTCCTTTTTTCGTACAAAGCTGATTAATTCAATTTTATGTTTCATTCTTAAAAAGTTTTGGGTCCTGCCAATTGCACCAGTCGGAAAACTATACCCATACCTAGAGATATCAGGTGTTGCACGAGGTTACAATTCCCGGAGGATGCAGCAATAGTCAGAGGAGTATTACCAACCCAGTTTTGAGAATTTATGTCGCACCCTGGAAAGTAAAATTGACACAGATGATAACTATTGAGTTATTTGGTAAGGCCAATGATGTAAGAGAAGGGTCTCTTTTTCAAATATACCAGCATAGTCAATCAGCTCTATCGTAACTTGGTATTATCAACCCCCCAGCTGTATCAAGTAAACCAGGATAAAGAATTCAAATTTAATAAAACGTTACGTAGTAAAACCACAATTGATTTACAAAAGCATTCAGGAAATGTCTGTCTAAAAATTTTAAGTTTTTCTTTAAACTTTTTTGAGAAGTGAGGGTTAAGACGAGGAAGCCTAAAACTGTCATAATATGATATTAGTTATTTCCTGGCATTTTTCCTTTTTTTTTATTTTGAATTGAAACCTGTCAAGATTTTTCCTCTGAAAGTCTACTATCCAAAATAACCCTGGCCCCAAGGATGGGATGGAGAAAAATAATGCAATTTATACCTTGAGATCAGTGTATTGCTTTCTTCATCTGGAATTTACCTGCTTCAAACAAGGAGGTTATAACTCCAAGACAGTTTGAGACCTTCTGTGTGCCACAAAAAAAGCTAGCGAGATGAAGGGCACTATCCTTGCATGAAGTATTTGAATTTATATCAGCTCCTATAAAAATGCAAGTCTTTTTCAATTTATTCTTAGATAAAATGTAAAGGTTATTCAATTTTATCATATAAAAAGAATAAAGTGCAGTGTCAGCTCCTGCTCCTATTTCACCAAAAGGGATTGCCTTTCACTTTAAACCTATTCTTCAAAGATACTTGAAGGGTTTCTGGTAACTCCTGATTCAAGGAACATTCAGATAAAGTATAAAAGGTTTGATATTGATCAAAGACTATGAGAAATTAAGTTTTCCATTCTTTTACTTAAGGCACTAATATCTTTAAAACAATTTAATTAAAAAAAGGGATAAACTCCTCACCTTTATTCAACATGTATAAAATAAGGCAATTGTCCCCACTCAAACAGGCACACTAGCAATACATAAGATACAGATCTGGTAAGTTTTTTTCATTGAATTACTATTTCAAGTATTTTTCCAAGCACATAGTTAAATTATTTTTAGTTACATGTATCTATTAAAAAGTACTATCACTAATAAAATATCAATTGCATCAGGTTGGAACAAGCTTTACTTTACAAACGTTTTTCCCCAGGCAGTAAACTCATATCTTCAGATTTTTGTCTCAAACAAATTTCCTTCATGACTTTTTTTGTAATTCTACCTGGGTACATTTTAAACAGTTTCTACAAGTAGGATTCTTAGTTTCCATACTTTTAAAGATAAGCTCTAAACATAAGCATTATAGATAGTTTTCTTAATAATAAGTCAAAATCCTTGATTAATCAACAGTAAAAATTGCACATATACAGTAATTATACAAAAGAGTGGATAACTAGAAAAGTTTCAAGACAGAAGTTTGAGAAGACTTAAACAAATAAGGTACTGTCAAGTTTCTTGCCATTTCTGTGGCAACCACTTTTGACATTACACAATCTAACTTTGTACATTGTCTTTTAAAAGATAATGCCTTACATTTTTGTACTATTAAAATTATTCTCAGTAGCATTTAGTTTCAACTGTTTTGAACCCAACATCCTAAGCTGCAATCTTTTCTGAACACATTGTTCAGTTTTGGACAACTCACCAAAAACAAAGTTAGGCCAGACTCTGATTTAGGGTGCTTCCTGTTCACATCAATCTTGTGCTTTTCTATGAGTGATATAATATCTGTAGTAACTCCAGGCTTTTGCGTGTTCTATGACAGGAAAATGGCGATAATTTCTTAATCAGCAACACGTCTCAGTGAAAAATAATTGAATGTCCTAGTAAACCATTTAAAAACAATTTCAATCTTTTCACAAGGTATTTTTTCAACAACTTGTAATTTTCTTCACTGCAAACATGCAAATATGTGATCATAAATATGATGGTGTAAATGGCTAATACAATTGGGCATCCAAACCTTGATCATTTGAAATAATCTTGTGATAAGAATTACTTCCTCAGTAGCCTTGAGCTCCTCACCTAAAATTATCATTAATGGTAAATGGAACATTTGTTTAGAGATAATTTCTTTTGTTCATTGGCTACAAAAAAAAATTCACATTTGTATGGTTTACAAAAAGTTAAAGCCAGATTCCATCCTAAGGCATGCAACCACTGCCAGGTGATAACAGGTTTTAATAAGTGATGGTCCATCTGGTAACCAATCCCAACAGGCTTCCTCCCCCTTAGCCAGGTAAACTATACAATCTTACCATGCTTAAACACTTAACTGTGTCTCTAACTGACAGTTAAATATTTCCCAAATATTTTGAAGGAGGACTTTGTGAACTGTAACACAAAGTCATGTTGTGCAAAGAGAGAATAATTACATGTATGTCCGTCACCATAATATACAGCATTTTCCTTAAAATGGTAACAGAATTGATTTATAACTGGTAACAGGCTTCTTCAGCACAATGTGCAAGTTTGTATATGTATCAAAAAAATGTTGTGATATGAAAAGAAAACTGCTGAAGTTTCAGTTTATGAATAATACTAAAATATGGTCAAAAAGTTGCCTTCACGTGAAATATTAGGCTGAATCAGCAACTTCCTTTGGCACCCACTTACGTGTCTTTTGCAGTACTTTGAAGAAAATGTACATTATTGTAACAATGAACAAGATCAGCTTCCATTTTGTTGTTGCCACAACAGCTACCTCACTGATGAATTTCTCTCCAAACACATGAACTCTGTTGATAGCTTGAACCAGACAATGGATACCAAGTCGGAAAAAAGTGTTCAAGTTGTGAACAGGGCTCACTTGAAGCATTATCAAAGCCAAGTGTCCACCTTAAGGGGAAATATAAACCACTTTCCAATAGATCTATGAGAAGATTGGAAGGGGAAAGAAAAAAGGTTCTTACTAGGAACATGAGTGATCTACAACAAAGGAAACATTTTTGTTAAAACAGGAGAACCTGGGAAAATAATAGAGAGAAAAAACTTCACAGGTTCTTGAACACTAAAAAACAGTGAAATTGACAATTTAAGAACACATTTTTCCTTCCAATTCCTGTGTTATGAGCCCTTGGCCTTTGTTTTAGTTTCCTTGAGCTAGGAGAAAATTCTTAGAAGAAGTAAAATTTCCCATTTTACTAAATGTTCATTAAAAGTAAATTTTTTTGTTTTTTAAGTAATAAGTAAATTATACAAAATTGATTTCTTAGACTGAATTCATTATATGCTAACGAGTTTTTCACTAAATGCTGATGAGAAGAATAATTAAGAACACATGTGAACATTAATTCAATCAACCAATGCTGCAAAGGGTAATGATTCTCACTTGGTGGTGGTAAAAAGTCACAAAAATCAGCTAAAAAGGCAAGTGTATTCAAAAGCACTATACATGTGCGTGTCTATCCATGACCTTTTGGCTCAACAGAATGTTCTTGGTTCTTTTGTGGTGACAAAACCACTTTTTTTTAACAGTCTAGTACATTCTAACATGTGTTTAACATTCTTGTGACTGGTTTGAGAGATTCAAGTGCTCACAACTGTTCTTGATGGTTCTTCTCATTATCATTTGGTAACAAACTCATTAGCAAGTAACTAACGAATTATACCAGTTCACTCTATTAAGTGAATTAAAAATTAATTTGTATTTGTGATTTTAGCAGTTTCCATCTCTGTTCTATCTATATATCTATTTCTGTGTCTTTCATTCCCTCTTTTGTATTGTAAACTTCATTTATAGAATATTGTTGTTTATTGTAAGCAATGTTGTGTGAATAATCCATTGTATGTAATGTATTGTTACCAGGTTAGAAACTGTGTATTATAAACCTTTGTTAACAAGATATTGTAAAAAAAAGAAAAAAATAGGTTAAAAAAAGAGAAAGGAAAAAATAGCAAAATTTCCTGCTTTCAAAATCATTCTCTCTTACTTTTTATTTTTTTTTTCTTAGTAGAAAAAAAAAACTTAGAAGGATTAAGTTCAAAATTAAAAATCCTAATGTTGGAAAGATTCCGAGCTAAGCTCGAAAAAATAAATTAATTTATGAGACAACTGAAGAAAGCTTGGAAGTCCAAGGAGATTGAGTTGGCAGTCATGTAGCACAGAATTGCTGTACTCGTGACATATTCCTACTCTTATTTAACTCCTAATTTATGTAGGTACTTTCTGTTTATTAGCTCCTTGAAACAAACAGTAATTACACAGAACCCCTTCAAATGTTTCTTCTGTTCGCCAAATAAAACGCAAGAAGAAAATTGCTAATTTTTCGAGTTTTTCTGTTGTCAAAAATTCAGAAAACTAAAAGCTATCTTTCTTGCATTTATAAAACACAAAAGCTGAACGAGAACTTTAAATTTGTAAGGTTTGCTCTTAATTAAAACCAACGCTTTCCTCAAACGGCAGTAATTCATCTTTGCAACGTGTAATCACGTTGCAAAGAAAGATACCAAAAGCAATACTTGCTAACACTTTTTCGAGTATCAAATTCACAAGCTTATTTTATGCCTTACCTTAAGATGGATTAAATAACTGTGAATTTCTTTCAAACTCCATGCAGAGTGAAAGGAAAAAGCGACGGGCTCGCACAAAATGAACATAGTCAACCTTGAAAATTGCTACACATTGTTGATAAACACAACTTTCCCGCCACAGACGCGGGTTACTACAACCTCGTTTCCAAGAGTTCGATGAATTCGGAGAGATACTGGGAAGAGAGAAATTTTTAAGATGGCGGACAGATTGAGACGATTGACTTATTATAACAGTGTTGTTAAGGCGTAGATTTACCTTTAATTTTCGATATGGACTCGCAAGATTAACTTTCAAGTCTCTCATGGTATTGATACCCAGATAAAATGGAGACAGAACAAGAGAAAGGCCCAGTGAGTATAGTTCGTGTTTTATGTCAAAACCTGAAGCTATGTTAAAGTAAGCACGAGTGATGAATCCATGCACGTGCTTTGCTAAACCTGGTTTTCATATGTTAAGAAAAACCCAGACGGTCAGCGATATCACCGTTTCACAACCGTCCCATGATTTGCCGAAATATTGAGAGATCGACACACTACTTTCCCACATAATTTCGCACGACATTTTTATTTGTGACTCGGCGGCATTGAAGCCAAACGACTAAAGGAATGGATTAGACTAGTAAAGAAAATAGAAACGTTCTCAATTTTCCCGATTTGTCGCTGACCAGCTCAGACAGTCAGCGATTCCAACGATTTCATTTGTGGGAATAATCAGAGACAGTTGGGGAACACTGAAATAGAAAACCTGACACATGAAAACCAGGCCCTAGATTATCACCAAACAAGATCTTATTTATGTAAGATCTTATTTTATCTTATTGCGATCATGGTAATCCCAATGTTGGACAGAATGGCTTATTGTTAGATAGCTATCCTCGATGGCTGTATGTTCTGTGCATGTATAGCTGTGCATATGGACCAAGGCATGTTAGTTTACACAAACAGGACTTATGACACTAGAATGACAACAACTATTCACTTGATTCAGATGATGACTCCCTCTTAGGGTGTTGAAATGTCAGTCACCACTACCCACAACCATCCTGTTAATGCTTTGGATAAACTCATGGAACATTAATCAGCACACTCATTTATTTCAATCACTTCTGTTCCATATAAAGCAAAAGGTCAACTGAAGTAAATCACAAAATGCTAACTGATCCACTGTACTTACAAACCTGAAGTAATATTGAAAAGGGAAACAATGTAAAATGAATTTACTTACCAACATTCATGGTTCTAGTTGTCATGAGGATATCTAAACATGCGAGATCACTAACTCAACTATGACCACAGTAAAGAGTTTGCTAACTCAACTGTGGTCACAGAAAAGAGTTTCAAAGCTGACAGTTTGTGCGTTAGCTTTGATGAAGGACTAAAACTCAAAACATCAGCTTTGAAACTCTTAAAGGTGGCCAATTTACACATCAACTCAGTTGATACTACTGAATTACCCTGTTGTACTTCCCTACTGATGCAGCACCACAGTTTCTTTAGAAACTTAGCCCCTTTAATCATTCACCAATCAAGGTACATATACTATAGTATGATAAAGACTTAATGACATCATTGTAACACATCCTTCTCAGAACCACTCTCACCTGAACAATCAGACTACATGTAGCTGTACATTCAAATGTTATTCCTGTGATTAAACCTGAATTGAACTAAGGTGGGTGTTGGTAAGCTGATATTAACTTAAAAACTTCATGTTTTAGCCTGAAGAAAGGCAGCAATGGAAACTTGAAAAGGACTCAGAATTACGTATCGAAATCCCTGAGGGAAAAGGAAAAGCACAACTTGTGGTAAGCAATGCAACTGTTCATGTATATACAAAGTAAGACAATCGAGTAGTCTTGATGGTCAAACTGTCATGCAATTTGCATACTGTGTTCCTACATGAGTACTCAGTGTGTCAAAAGTTAGATAGTAAAAGTCAAATTTCTGGCACTGGAGATGTGAGATAGCCTGGCCTCTAAAACTCAAAACAAGGTAAAATTCTGAAAAAAAAACAATGAGTGAACTAGCATTGGCAGGACTTCTCAGTGGGGCTGGCAGTGAAGGGATTAAAGAGAGAGTATTGATTTGACAGCTATTCTGGTAAAGCTGTGGTGGCAGGCCTGTGCACATACAAGACTAAAATCCAAGTCATAAACAACATTTGAGCTTTCATTCAAAATGGTAGAATTCTTTTTTTACCAAATACCCTGCACAAACAAGAAATTAAAAAAAGGTAGCCTAGGAGACATTGTTTAGATTTGAAGAAAGAGTCTGCCTGAAGGAGATTTTTCTGCTTAAAGGAACCTGATAACATAATTCTCTTCCTCAATTTTTAACCTTTTAACTCCCATGAGTGACCATGTCAGAATTTCTCCTTACAATATCAATACAAATCAAGTAGACAAGTGATAAGAATAAAGAAAAATATAGATTAGGGGATTATAAGTTGATCCAATACCAAATCCTCCAAATTAACATCATAAGAACTGTATGGCAGACAGTAAGGAGAATTAATAATGAGATCTTGGGGGTTAAAGGGTTAATTGGTTTCACATTTCATCATGTTTTGTTAGTTGAAGTCACTTTTATCTTTGAGCAAAGGATTCAAAAACAATCAATGCAAAATTTACAGATGTTTTTCAATTAGTTACAACAATAAAAATTTAGATGTTATTACCATCACCTAAATAATTAATATGCAATTAATTAACCCAGCCTTAAACTTCCACAAGTGATTAATATAAATTAACTTTGTATAATATCCATGCATTATCCTGCAAACAGGTAATGAGAATATTCAAACTTATTAGGTAGAAGTTGTTGTTTTGATCTAACACCAAATTCTCATAACTAATAATATTATTCTCACGGAGATGTGTGACAGCTAGAGGGGAGAATTAACAATCAGATCTTGGGAGGGGTTGAATTATTATCTCTCTGCTTCGGTTTTTGTCAGTATCTTTAAATATCCCATGATCTTGGTGCTGGGAGCTAGTCAGCTGCTGGTATATTCACTAAGCCTTTACCAGATAAAGGCATGTTGAAAAATAGAACCCCAAAAGTATGCAGGAAGGTGTAGCTCCACTTTTTATTCATTGAATGTATACAAGACAGTTTTCTTTTCCTTTACTCATTGTAGCTGCTACAAGGTCAAGGTGAGGTGTTTGGAACTGAACTGGTGAGAAACAAGAAGTTCACTTTCAAAGCTGGATCAAATGTTGCAATTTTTACTTGGCATGGTTGCACTGTAGAAATATCCTTTCCTATTTGTACTGATCTTTGATCTAGGCTCCAAATTCAATGAAGCCAGTTGGTGACTCACATATAAGATGATAAAGGGTCATCAGAGAGAAGTTATATGCAAAACTCTTATAATTGTAAGTCTCGTAAACTGAGCATGAAAATTGCATAAACAGATTCAATCTTATACTCTTGTGCTGAGACTGTTAATGTTTTGTTCTCACTTATTTAGGGTTTGTCATTTAAACTGTTGATTTTGATGTTGCAAACTGCCGCTTCTGTTAAGTACCCATAAAATTAATTGTCCCTCTAAATAGAATTTACTCCTTGTTCTCTTTTCACTAACTGTGAACAATTTCGAATAGAATGTACATGTATTAGGGCACATCTCAGCTGCTTCATTTTTTTCACAATTCTGGTAGAAGCATGCTGCCATACCTCCAGTAGGTGATGCTTGGGGCATCTCACTCTTTGCCAGCAAATCAAATTGAGAGCTCTTTAGGTGACACCAGAGAAAGAGAGGGGAAGGAGCATTGCACAGTGTGATTTTAAGTACTCTTCCATTGATCGCACAGTTTGTCTTTGAAAATGCATGCATCATAGCTGAATACATGGCTGACAATCTGAGGCTTAATACTTGGGAAAGCTACATGAAAGAGGCAATTTTAATGAAAGAAAGCAACAGAGTATTCATATTATAGTATGAAAATGTTTCTCTCATATTAGACCATAATTCCCAAATTAGAAAAATAGGGGTATTTGCATTCAGTACATTCAATTATTTGCACAGTTAGGTTTCATAACATTTCTAACTGTGTTTTCCATAACCACATTCAAATCTCTGGTCCTGTTGATGCATATGTCTCTAAAGAGACACCAATGGTAATGTACTTGAATCTTCACATGGGACTGGAACAGATGAGACAGAAGGCTGAAGCTGTTGATGAACCAGAGACTGGTCCAAGGGTGAGTCCTCTTCACCCAATTAGCCTTTGACCCTAAAGAGTAACTTAAGAAATTATGTTTTGCATTGCAGCTTACAAAATTTCAAAAATATATAATAGGCAAGCCCTGGATGTTAGTAAGGAAAGCTCATGCATTATAACTGAAAAAAAAGTATAGAAAGTTGTGAAAGATGTGATTAACCATTTAACACTCAGAAATGATCAACAAGTAACTTCTCCCCGTAATACCCTTGCATTAACCAGCAAGCGGGTAATGAGAATACTCAAATTTATCAGGTAGAAGTTGTTATCTTGATGTAACACCAAATTCTTGTGACTAATTTACAAGGAATTGTGTAGTAGCTAGAGGGGAGAATTAACAATCAGATCTTGGGAGTTAAAGGGGTTCAATAGACAAATGGATAAAACTGTATAATTATTATTATTCTTAATAATTGATACCCAGGTGATGGTTGCTGGCCCAGTTGATGTTGGGAAGTCAACACTGTGTAAACTTTTGTCAAATTATGCTGTTAGACTGGGAAGAAGACCAGTATTTGTTGATCTGGATGTGGGTCAGGTATGAAGTACAGTACTTGACTAAATTAAAATTTTTAAAGAAAGATATGCATTGTTATTAATCAGTCAGAGTACATGTACTTTCACAAACTCAAGACACATGTAGTTTTGAAGAGTTTTTGTGTCAGTGGAATTTCAGTTGGTTATCTGGAAAAGTATGATATTGAACACTAACTCTTTAATTCCTATGAGTGACCAAGACATAATTTCTCCTCACAATATCAATCATGCAAGTGATGAGAATAGACAAAAATGTCAATTTGGGGAGTTTAGTTGCTCTAATACCAAATTAAATTCTCCAAACTAATTTCAGCAGAATTGTATTGCAGAGGGTAAGGAGAATTATTAATAACATCTTGGGACTGGAAGGGTGAAGGACAATCTTGTAATTTGCCTGGGAATGGAATGTTATGTATATTTTAGTCAGAGTAACTTTTTTTTTAATATGGTATGTTGTTGTACATAAATCTCTGCAAACTCAAGAGAGTTATTTCCAAGCAAGTACTACTACATGACTTTTTAATAAAATTGTGTTCTCCAAGTATTATTTCAAAGATCCCTGCATTTTTTTTTCCATGTAGGGTTATATTGGCATTCCAGGCACTATGGGTAAGTACAGTGAGACTATTTTGTATACCCTTTCTCATTTTATTTAGATTCTTGACTGCGCATTGAAATTTTATGGACAGTGAACATATGTGTAGCAGACCAGATAACCTCCAAGAGTGAAAAGGTTAATCTTGAGTCGTTGGTGTCATGATTGTTGAGCAGGAATTGAGGCTTGATTTTTCTCCCAAGTTATATGATCCAAAATTTTTGAGACATGATTTCTGAAAATAATTTGATGAATCAAATGAACATACATACCTAATTTACTTTCTTTCAAATAGGTGCTCTTTTAATTGAAAGACCTGCTGACATTGAAGAAGGTGAAGTATTCCTTTTTAAATCAACCCTTTTACCCTCAACCCTTTAACTCCCAGAATTGATTAAAATGTGACTTCTCCCTATAATTTCCACATTATTTTTAGCAAATGGTTAATGAGAATACTCAAACTTATCAGGTAGAAGTTGTCATCTTGATCTTTCATCAAATTCTCACAACTAATCGACAAGGAATTGTGTAGCAGCAAGATAGGAGAATTAACAATCAGATCTTGGGAGTTAAGGGTTAAGAGTGTTCAGCATCTAATTTCTATGTACAATATCACCCCTGAATCATGTGTTAAGGTCATGAGAAAAAAGGAGATGATCACCAACTCAAAAAACCTTCTGATTGTTAAACAAATTCTCCCTGTAAGTAACTGTACTTTTGCAAGGAAATGTATAGAGAACAGTATGGAGAATATGCATACTGATGTTAGGATGGACAGGGTTAACATTATTAATTGTAATTTTTAGATTGTTTCAGTCAAGACTTACTATAATTGTTATCATGATAAATTTGTGACATTATGCAGCCAAGTTTATAGCAAATACTTGTTTTCTGGGAATTTCAGGATTTCCACTTCAAGCGCCACTAGTTTATCACTATGGTCACGTGTCACCAGCTCCCAGTGAAAAGCTTTACAACAAGATATCCAGCAAAATAGCTGAAGTCACAAAAGAGAGGTTTGAAAAGAACAAGAAGGGTAGGTGTGCTTCATACATGTACAGTACAGTGTACATGTAGTTAACCAGTAAGTAAATAAGCCAGTTACTCCAGTGCAGATACTGTACATGAACATGCACAATAAATGTTGACATCGAATCCTTTGGTTTTTGCAGGTGCTTGAATTTCTGTTTATTAGCTTCTTGAAACAAATTTTAATTGCAAACAACCCCTTCTAGAGTTTCTTCAGTGAGCCAAATAAAACACAACAAGACTATTGTTACTTTTTTCAAGTTTTCCTGTTGTCAAAATTTGGAATACTAAAATGATAAAAAGCTCATTTTCTTGCATTTATTATAAAGCACAACGGCTGAACAAGAAGTTTGAATTAATAAGCTTTGCTTTTAGTTTAAAGCAATGGTTTCAAACAGCTGTAATCCAACAAGGTCATCAATATATGGCAACATGATTACATCAAAGAAAGATACAAAAAGCAATATTTACTCACAATTGCATGAGTATTAATACACAAACCTACTTTCAATGAGAACCAGGCCTCCCTGAAGTAGATGGTTTGGTGTTTCTGATGCATTCAAGGGTACTGTGCATTATTGTTAAATTACTTATTTGATCTTGAAATTTGACTGAATTGTATATGGGTCTTGCACAATTTGTTACAATAACTGATCTGGGATCATATGAACTGGGGTTTGTCTCGTTGCAGCTCGAGTCAGTGGATGTATTATCAACACCTGTGGCTGGGTGACTGGAACTGGTTATAGAATTCTGGTGCATGCTGCTGAAGCATTTGAAGGTTAAGAACAATTTTTAATTGAGGGTCAAAAGTAATCAGGGACTGATTTGGTTTAACTTAACTTTATTCTGTATTTAGTTCAGAGAATTTGCCCCATCCCAGGCCTCCTGAACAATTATTGGAAGCAAATTTAGATTAAAAACAATCACAACTTGGTCACTAAAAAGATATAGAAAGTTGTGATGTGATTAACCATTTAACACTCAGAAGTGATTAACAAGTTACTTCTCCCTATAATATCCTTACATTATCCAGCAAGCAGGTAATGAGAATATTCAAACTGATCAGTAAGAAGTTGTTATCTTGATCTAACACCAAATTCTTGCAACTAATTTACAAGGGATTGTGTAGCAGCTAGAAGGGAGAATTAACAATCAGATCTTGGGAGTTAAAGGGTTAAAAGGGATGAATTTCTTGGGTTGGAATTGGTATTGGTATTGGAGCTTCTTCTCACTCTGAGTTCTTATTGGCTAATGATAATGTAATCATTGTTCTGGTTGGTTTCTGCGATTACTTTGGTTTTAGTTCTCCAACACTCATTGAAAACTGCTCTTGTGTGTTAATCCTCGAACAGGTTCTTGTGATAGGTTTTCAGTGGTTGTTGTTTTGCTTATATTTGGATTTTTTCGCTTTTAGTGAATGTCATTGTTGTTCTTGACCAAGAGAGACTTTATAATGATCTAAAGAAGCAGTTTGGCAGCAAGGTTCAGATTGTGCATCTACCAAAATCTGGTGGGGTAAGTGACCTGTCTAATCTTTATAGAAATTGTTTAAATTATGACCCCAAAAATTCTTTTTGAAAATATGGTGCATTTAAGCTGTGAGCTGAAGTAAAAGTGAGTAAAACCTTGTATCTCTAACTTGTAGGTGGTGGTAAGAAGTCAAGAGACTCGCAGAGAAACAAGAGATAACAGAGTGAGAGACTACTTTTATGGAATTAACTCCAGTTTTTATCCGCATATTTTTGAGGTCAAATTTGCAGACATAAAGATCTACAAGATTGGGGGTAAGTAAATTTTAATTTTGAATTTCCTTACTTATCACACAATAAGGTCACAAGAATAAAGGAAATGATCAACAACTGAAAGGAGCTCTTGATTGTTAGACAAATTCTCCATATAAGTTCTGAAGGAAATGTATAAAGAGCAGTAAGGAGAATCAGCATACTGATATTGGCCAGTGTTAAGGGTTGAAAATATTTTTTTTGTCCTTTTTAGTTTGCCTGCTAACCAGTTTCATTTGCTTTCATTTCTGAAACATTTCAGCCCCTGCTGTTCCTGATTCATGTCTGCCACTTGGAATGGCTCCAGATCAGAATGAAACCAAACTGGTCCCAGTTCAACCAGGTACAACTATTACAGATCATAAGGTCTACAGTCACATAATGTAAATTTGTCATTGTAAAAGGATTAAAGTATGTTACAATAGAAACAGTTGTAACAAAAATGTGTTATCAATTGAAATGAAACAAAGATTGTGGAAATTGCAGAGAGCAACTACCATGATAGGTACCAAACTGGAAATGATTGAGGCACCTTGTCCACTTGAGATGGCTTCATTTTTCCTGTAACTTTTTTTTTAAGAGTACTTTTTGCTATGTAATGTGCTTAATCCACTATACTTGTACAGTTAAGTTCACAGGATGTTAGGTTTGTCCCTTTTTCTATAATTTAGGGACTACAAATTTATGAAAATGCTCTCCAACTGTTCAAATAACTGTGCAATATTGTGTGATATTTTTGTTAGATATGTTTATTATTTGTACTCTACTTAGGGTTGTCTTATAATGAAACATGTTCATCCCTACTTAAACCACTTTCTCCCAAATCTTCAATTCCTTTATTAAGAAAACTTGTAAGGAGCAAACTTGCAATAGGGTTCATGCCCATTCCATCTTATGGAATGGGCGTGAGGTTGAAGTGAGTACCTAAACATTTATTGTAATGTAGTTTTCTAAACTGGAGGAAAGGAGCACGGACTGATAACAAAGGACCGATATGAATTCTTCCAACCCATATTTTTACAGGACGTGATTTGAAGCACTGTGTGTTGGCATTGAGCGCTGCTGAATCACTAGAAGAAGACTTAGTTACAACAAACACAATAGGATTTGTTGTGGTGTAAGTACAAAATTATATACCTGGATTGCTTTTCACTAGAATTTGAACAATCCTATTCAGTGAATTTAGAGTCTGTTTCAATATTTCACAGTTTAGTATTAAACAATTATTGTAGTACAAGCATTTACAGAGTAAGCAAAAATTTTGTTTTGTTTTGTTTACATTCACAGAGCCTCATTCCTTTGTCTCATATTTTATGTTTCATTGATCCACTATATATACAGTTCCTAATTTCCTAATTCAATCAACACTATCTTTTCCGCTTTACAGTAATGATGTTGATTTAGATCGTCAAATGATGGTGGTGCTGTCTCCAGCGCCAAGGCCACTACCAAGAAAGTTCTTCCTGCTCAGCGATGTCAAGTTTATGGACTTCAAATAATTTGAAGAAGCATGACATGTGTTACTGTTTCATGCAATTCTCATTGACATCATTTATGTTGCTTCCAAGTCCTATTTCAGCAATTTCATTTGCTCATGCAACAGCATATGGCCTGCAAGTACTTTGAACTCACCAGTCTGTTGAATTGGAATAGGATAATCCATGCCAGTCTTGTTTGAGATCTTTCTTTCCATTTGGAACACAATGATGTACTTATTGAGTGCTAACATTTTCTCTAATTATGACAACCCTCAACCTTTTTAACTCCCATGAGTGACCAAGATAGAATTTCTCCTTACAATATCAATACAATATCAAGCAGAAAAGTGATGAGAATAAAGGAAAATATAAATTAAGGGAATATAAGATGATCCAATACCAAATTCTCCAAACAAACATCATAAGAACTGTATGGCAGACGTTAGGAGAATTACTAACATGATCTTGAGAGTTAGAGGGTTAAGGGAGGATTTATCATGAAGGGTGCATTGACATAGATAAACCATAGCATCAAGAGTTCATACCAGTCACACATAAAAATAGACAAAACATATTTCCTTTTTTAATAGAGCTCAAACTTTTTCACCTCAGTTTCTTAATCTACTTCCTCACACAGCTTGTTTATTAAAGATTGTTGATCCTTACGGTGCACAGAATGGATGTCACACATAAACAAAGTAGTTAAGCTTCATCAGAGAGTTCACAGCAGCTCACTGGTTGAACACTGGATATGTGGAATCTTAAGGTGTGAGGTTCAATTCCCATGCATGTGACAAGATGATCTTTCTGTAAAACTTTATGTAAGCTTTTAGGATCTGCATCTTTTTTAGTATTTTCTTTTTTAACCCAAGAACTGAACACTTTTCTTCATTAAATTTACCTTGTATTACATTATATTACAATAGATTTGAATGTAAATTGCAAATGGCAAACATTAAACCATTACAACACTTTTTATTGATATTTTATCTTAAAAGTATTTACAAAATTGTTTTTAAATATTACCTTCTCTTCCTCATTCTAATCACTCCTTGTCACGACTTTAATACACGGTTTAACCCACATGATAAGAGAGCTAAGAAAATTTTCTACATTAGGGTAGGGGATAACTGTTCAGTTTTACTGCCCTTCAACTCCCAAGATATAGAATCAGTAATTTGCCCTGCAGACTGCTATACATTTTCTTGGAAATTACTGACAGAGGAGAATTTGGTGTTACATCTAGAAAATATTCCCTGCCTGCTAAGCTTGTCTATTCTCATAACCAATTTACAAGGTAACATTTTGGAATCGGAGGAAGAAGTTGCATGTTTATCAATTCTAGAATCTGTTAGTCAATTACCTTATCATGAGCCAAGGCTGTGACACCTTTAGTCAAGGTTCTCGCCTCTTGGGACAAGATGCTTGTCTAGCAAGGGGTGCCAACTTGATTTTGAGAGGTACTATAGAAACCATGTCTTGGAGTTACTTAGTAAGCCATGAAGATTACAACTAATGAATGACAGTTCATGTGAAAATGTACCTCTGTCAGTAACAAGTAACACAGGTCATCACACAACTAAGTAACTTGCTTGTATTGTGCTGTAGTTTTAATTTCCTCTGTTCCAACAATTACGACATTTTGAATAATTACAAACTAGATAAAGTAAATGGAGAAGGGCACAATAATTTCATAAAAAGATACCCTTCACAATAAATTAAATTGTTTTCCTACAGTAACATAATACACATATAAGAGAGGGAAAGAGAAAGAACACTAATAAAAAATATATAAATAATACATGCTCATACAACCACATTAATACTGAGAAGAGTAATCCATGAAAAGTGTTCTTTTAAAATTATCTAGATGGCTTCTTCTGTAGAAGTATAGTGATATCACTCCAATAGTAGCAATTCCTACAACTGTTAGACAGAATCTCCTTACATTTATTAGGAAGGTGCTAAGGTACCTTAGTTATATTGCACATTTTAATACAAAGAAAAAAATAAACATTCCACAAAAAGCTAACAGAGTCAATTAAAACATAGCAAATTTTAGTTTTTTCAACTATAACATTGTACGTGTAAGTCTTATAATATCTATAACTGTTACAATATTAATTTTATCTTGCCGTGGCCCTTAAGGTGAAAGTCTCTCATAGACCCATCCATTGTCTCCTTTCTTTGTTACATTTTCATCAAGAACTTCATCTGCTTCTTGTTTACGGAAAACAATCCTGTCATGGAGTCTACTGGATTGCCCTTGCCAGAATTCAACTTTATCTGGAATTACTTTAAAACCACCCCTAAAAAATAATACAATAATTCTGTTAGGTGATATTTAACTAATTTATGACACAAGTACCGGTATTGCTTTAAAGGAAAGTAGACAATGCTTTGCAACACTATACCATGCTCCTTTATGAAATAATATATTTTTTTGGTTCTAAAGAATAAAATTCTTGGAAGTATCGGATTTGTTACCCCATGTAAATGTGCTTCACTATAAAGTGACCACTTACCAATTATCTGGTTTTGGAATCACTTTTTGTTCATCAGCATATTGCTCTTTAAGTTCCTTCTCCTTTACTTCCAAAACCTTTAAATAATGTATATCACAGAAATATTAAACCATGTTTAGTTAATTTCAAGGACATACCTAATGGATGCCATGAACCTTGACAGCATTAATCATGGACATATCAAGGATTTAGAAGAACCAGAATCGAAGAGTTGTTCTTTTTCTTCTTTCCTCTTTACATTTTGGCTTTATCTAATCCATATCACCATTTTTGTTTGATATGTGCTTGCTTCTACATCTCTACATTTCTTTGAAAATGTACACCCTTTGATTTGTTTGCTCCTATTGTTTCTGTACACACCACTTCCTGAAAATGGTAATGGTAATGACACTATATGAATGTGTGTTTCCCCCCCCTTTGACACTTTCCACTTTAAAAATGAGGCATTCTCAAAACAGTCCTATAACACTTGGCTCCACTTTAGAAACAAAGTTTGACATCTTCATTTACATGCTGCACGATGATGTTTTCAAGAGTTTAAGAATGGGTGATAGGTAAACATGCAATGAAGAGCATGTAGTTTAAAATTACATTACTGATTGCACTTTAGAGTAAAGGACACCTTTTAAGTTTAATGTCAGTTGAATGAAGCTAGTGGAATTCCAACAAGGAAACTGCACAAACTTAATGTGTTCTTGTATTTACAGTGAATAATATTAGAGCAGGTACCCACAGAAAATGTTATTTAATGTGAATACAAAAACATAAGTTTATGACAACCAAACTTTGCTTCTCAGACCCCTGGGTTTTGGAAATTACCTCAACAATTAACCTACTTGAAGACGTAAAGCAGATTTAATTAAAAACTTAATAATCATCAAAGTCTTCATTTCCAACAGCCAATAATCAGTTGAGTGAGGTGTGGAAAAAAATTTGATGATGGAGTTTTGACTGTTACAGTGAAATAATGGTATTGTCACAGGCAACCTTCTTCGTTTGCAGGCTAACCAAATCTCAAGAGCCATGTGTTGGCTAATATAAGACATGAAAACGTGCCTAGACAAGTTTAGTAAATGACAATTTGCCACTGGAAACACAGCCAACAAGTTTTAATGTTGAAATGTGGTCACCAAACTTCTGCCATGTCTTGCTTGACTGATAATCATAGTTAGTACCTCAGAGGTGATGAAAATCCTAATCATGAAGACCTCTAACACAATGAGCCTATGCTTGCACACATTCATTTATTAACAGGAATATCCCATAATTAATAAGAGTTCCACAACAAGAAACAACTTCTTACTTAACCCTTTACACCCTAACATCAGTATGCATATTCTCCATAATATTCTCTCTACATTTCCTTCAGTGCTAGAAAGGAGAATTTGTGACCGGCCTTAATATGTGATTAGTTGTTGAGCAGAAATTAGATACTGGTTACTCTTAGGGATGAGAGGGTTAGGCATGTGGAGCAGATCTCCCTTAAAAAATAAAAAACTTTAAAATATGAGATAACATGCTAGGATTATGGTATTACAGAGTAGTAATAGCAATCTGAGTCAATCATATTCATTTGTAAAAATACACACCTTTCTACTTGCAATAACTGAGCTCTGATTACTGACAATAGCTCCTATCTGACTTGAACGAGGACGAGAATGAAAATACTCCTCACTCTCTTTTTGCGACAGTTTTTCCACTCTCCCTTCTACTCTCACCTAGATAAACATTAATAACAGGAAGGTTAGAAAGTTAAGATGAAATTTAACATGTTTCCAATTTGCTCAAACTGCCTGAGGTGTAACCATTCCCAGTCCTCCCTTAAAAAAGCAACCTTGAAGGGTGGCAAAGAGTTTAAACATGACCCACGATTAAGACCAAAATTGATTCTTGGTGTGTGAACTTTATGGAAAGGCAAGCATGATTTATTCAAATTTGTGATTTGCCTCCAAAAATATATGTGACCTAAGAATTTTTCTCTCAATTTATGATTACCTCAAAATTTCCCTGAAACCTTGTGCACTGGTAAAGAGATTTGACTTTTCCCCTTGTATATCTGTGACATGTAAATTTTTCTTAAATTCTTGCACGAAATGTGACCAGGAGCCCCCCTTTGCTTCCCCCTGTAGGGATGTTTAACAATTTCATCTCTTTAGCAAATCAGCTATAGAAGCATTGATAGCTACAAGATGATTTAAATCTTGTCTACAATACTTTGTTAATGAAAGAAAAGAAACAAACTACAAAAAGTAATAAGAAAATTAAAAATATAGCAGTTTACATGATGTTCTTGAAGTTGAGGGGAAAGTAAAACAATGCATAAACAAAAGCTTACAGTTTTACCTGTCGGTGCAAAGGGTCCCAATAAAATAATAATGAAGCATAAGGGTTTTCTTTCTAAAAAAAAAAAAAACACAGAAGTTAGCCATAGTATCCAAGTTCATATCTACCTTTTGGTTCTTCCTGAGTAAATACCATCCTCTTATTGGTTACAGAACAGCTCAGAGGTAGATGGCTGACAACAAAACCTTCACACATTTTTTGCATGCAAGACTCCAGCCTGAGATTGTGACGTTGTATTAAAAATTTGAAATCACTGTGAAAGATGTGACTTGATTGAGATGGTACATTTTGTTAACTTTCATTTCATGTGTATGGGAGAGCTGACAAGTGCAGGTCAGATTACCAGAGGACTGCAAACTGGGCTTATATTCACTGGATTAGCTAGAACTGAGTGGGCAAATGGTGATATGGACATACACAATAATATAGTATGTCATACTGAGGTAGGTGACAGTGCATGAACAAAGTGCACTATTAGTGGTTCTGTCGGTGAAGTTTCGGCTGGTTCTCTTGCTAAATGTGTTTAATAAGCAGTAAAGATGAACCTATCCAGTAATATTTAGGTTGGCTGTTTTATTCACACCAATAATCAACCTGATACCTTAATTGCTTTAAGATACTTGCATTTGACCCTCAACACGTTACTCTATGTTGGGATAACAGTTGTGACCTGCACCCTCACTCAAAAAATACATGTAGACTCCATATTGCCATGTATCTGTTCTGTGATAAATCAAGCATGACACTAAAATGTGGTATAGCTGAGTGTCACTAACGTTCTTACCACAGCTTGAAATCTTTTGTGATCTATTACTGAGCAAGACCACTGCAACATGGAATCTTTTTAATTCATATAAATTAAACATAAAATTTTGTCAATGGTGGCATCATCAATGCATCTGTCCTCCAATGGATTATAAGAAAGAACCAATCAAAATAAAAGTATAATTCAGCTTATCATTAAAATAAAAGTGAAGTTCAGTACCTTGCATCAATGCAACGTCCCTTGAGAGTTTGACTCTCCCAACCCTCCCCTCCCTCTTTACACAAACATGTAAACAAAAGAAGTATCCAGAATTATCTGCATATATTGTATGTATCTAGTTTTGAAATTCGAAAAACATATCAGCAACACTCGTGCTTCCAAAAATGTGAATGTTACTTCAGTTGTAAGATTGAAAACATTACATAACCATGATTACATAATACGGTAAGCTCACCAATTGCCCTGCTTTTGAGCTGTTATAATTAGTGAAGAAAGTGAATCCTGTGTTATCATAGCCTTTTAACAACACCACTCTTGCTGTAGGACGACAGTCCCTGCAGAAGAAACAGTAGTTTGAGAAAGAAACTCTTTCCATTCCTAACGCCGCTGAAACGGTTGATAATCCAATATGGCGAACATCATAACAATAATGCTATGTAAGAGGTACCGGGTGATGCGAAAGAATACATTAAAAGTAATTGAAAAGATGAGAAAAATCACCACAAACCTTCCGCATGTGGATAGAATCATGGCATTTGCCTCTCCGATATTAGGACTTTTGGAAGCTTCTCTGAACCACCCATCGAACTGCATAAAAGGTTCCTTTGCCACAAGATGAGATTCATCGAAGCCATCGGGCATTTCATAGTTTCTTCTCATGGAAGCAACATCCTCTTTACGCAGCATGGCTGTAAACACACCAAAGCCTCTGCTTGTTTCAGTGTTCCTTGCAACCACCAGGGTTGTTCTCCAAACTCTCAACGAAAATAAAGTCATAAGTCAGTTCCTTGATTGTCACGCCACATCATCCGTTAACAGAAGCTTAGATTAACCGCGCGGAGATCTGGGCATTAATAGAAAAAGCTGGTCCTAGTCCTCTGTTTTCATCACGGGAAAGGCACCAGAGTTAGTCAACCTAGACAACCCACCTTCCCCATCAAAGGTTCCCCTATTCAGTTTTCAAAACCGATAATTTTCGTTCAGATTTCTATTTCCTTTGGGGAAGAGAACACTTATCTTCGTTCTCAAGGCGTTTTCCCCACCATCTTGCTCTGTAAGGGATGGGCATACGAGGGCCAAGAATGGGAGAACCTTGCAAATGGCATCTGCAGACTCATCTATACCCACTTTACGAGCAGCAGTTAAAATTGTGTCATCCACCAAACACCACAAAAAAATTTACAGAATGCTGACTTCATCGAGTTGATGTTCAGTTGGTTTTCCGGTCGTTTTCTGACATACTTCATCACTGAGAGCTAAAGGCTCTAGGCCCTACAATGTCCCACTCAGTATTGTTCAGAAGTGTTTTTTAATCAATTCCTCTTTCAAACGCTTTTCTAAACATGGAATGTTCTAAACTGTAAATAATTGATTTATAAGAGGATAAGTCATATGTGGGAAGTTGAAGCTGTATACAGCTGTTTCATCCCACAGGATTACACCTCGCTGAACACAGATAAAGACACATTGTAGATTACACCACTCGGTCCCCCGCAAGCAAGGGAGGCACTCAGCTGTCACAATGAACGAATTTCTAGTCAGCTCCTTGTTCTTTCCCAGAAAATTGTTCACGCTAGCAGCAGTCGCCAATCCGTTAGGCCCGAGTTTGGTTCGTACTGTCGCGCACATTATTATCAGGAATATGCGGTGCATAAGAGAAAGACCATCCAATGTTGCCCTAGGTGTGGCCGTACCCCTCCCCCCCACCCCCAAGGTGAAACGGAAGGGAGGGAACCCTCCCTTTCCGTTTCACCTTAAGGAGTTGGGTACGGCTACACGTAGGCTAATCCAATGTTCATGATCCAACCTATTTGCGCACACCGTTTGGCAAATGCGATGTCCCCATAGTTATTGTTGCTACCCACACACACACACGGCGCTGACAGCATAACCTTCCGGGCTTGTTGTCGATGTCGGTGCGGCCAAATCTGAGTATGTGCTCGTGCCAGAGAAATAGGTACCAGGAAAAAAGAAAGAGTTCGTGTATAATCATATATCCAATACCTGCCATTGCCCAGAATGCAACGACATATCCGACCTTGACTGCGCCGCCAGCGGTAAATTTGAAAGTCGATTAACGAAGCGAGCTTAAAACAAAAGAGAAATTAATCCGAAAATGTCCAAGAGGGCTTATGTACTTTTTGATTTCGTCCAAACTACGCAACATTTCATATATCACTTTTGGCATATGGCTTTTATAGAAGAGGAATCAATAAAAAATACTTTTCCATCCTCGCCTTTTTGTACCTTCTTTAACTCCTGGCTATTTTTATTTGAAATTTGGCCATTTTAGTAACCAGTGAGTGTGGGAAGTTGCTTTAGACTCTTTTGATTCACATCAAGGCTGGATTTCTCTTGAGCTAATACCACAAAATCTGTTTTAGCATGTGGTAATGACAGTTAAGCTTCCATTGAAGCATTACACAAACCTTTGCATGGTTTTGAAAGTTGAAAGTTCTGGCTTTGCCAGAATTTCTGAAACGACTTCTAATCTCTCTCTTGTTTTTGCCACAGGTGAACCCTATGAGAACAGAACTGACTTCTTTCAAAACTCCCGCGAGTATATTAATGTATTGTAAGCTCCACCTCCACGTCAAAACGGAACGCTACCACACAATAACTTTGTAAACTCTGAAATCGTAGTGAAATGTTACCGAGTTTTGTTTCCTACTTCTAGATATTTATTCTGAAGAAAAATCTCGTAACGCGCCAATCAAGTTCACGACACAAAATAAGAACAACTCCAATAATCATGGGCATTGCCATGTCGCTTAAACACACGGAAAGAACTTTTCATAACATGTTTAATTAACATGGTTAAAACCGACAGGTTTGTTTCTACGTAACCATTGACAACGCGTAACCGAGTCATATTATTGTCGCCCATTAAGATCTAATTTACATAAACACCATCACCGGCTACGGCAAATGCGCCGCAAAAACACTTGAGGAAAGTTCAAGTTCTGTGATATATTGAAAATGTGCTCCGTGCAAGAAATGCAACGCGTTGATCGGGAGCTCTCTCTTCAGAGCTCGTAGAATCCCCGATTAACCCTGCTTTCTTATTCATGTCTGTGCCATTATTGAACGGCTACAATCCCTTGTTCTATGTGCAACTGAACGGAGAGGCTCTTTGGGAATGGAGGAGCCTTCGCAATCCCAGTCAACTATTTGAGACTCTACGTGACAACTTGTCCAGAATCGCCGGGTATAGATTGTCGTCCTCCTCTCGCACTCGCCTTGGCACCGCCGTGTACAGCAGGGTGCAGTACATCGCCAAGAAGTTACGCAACACTTAGATTACCAGCCATCACCGTCAAGCATTAAGATCACAGTACCGGTGTTCTATCGCTCTGCATCCAAACGAAATTGCTCATGGTCCAGGAGAGGTTATAAACGGGCTGAAAAAGAACGAAGAATTACAGATGCAAGAAAATCAAAGACTGAAAATTGAATCAGAGGGTAAGAACTACATTTGAGAAATACCGGGGTATGATCAGTATCAAATTTCTTCGCGCAGTATAAGAACACGTAGAGGTTATAAAGAAAGTTACACCAAAGATAAATTGTCTTCAATCATGGACAGTCACCCCACTAGTACCACTGGGATGGGAGAATTTGCATGTTGACAATGGAGTGTAATTTTACAATTTTTTCCTGTTAGATAAAGCATCACAGCTCTACGATGCTATGGTCCAGCTAAGAAGTGTCTGTCAGATTGGCCATATTGGAAAGAACATAGACGAAGTGGGGAGTGACTTCGCCACCACCTGTTGTATTTGCGTGGGCGATCAAACCCCAACCATCGTCTGTTTAGCACAGATTTTTGCCCTTTTACAGACGTTACAATTCCTTTGTCATACTGAGAAAAACATTCGCGTCACAGGAGACACTGAGTCATCGACGGAAACTACTACTTTAGCGAAGGAAGTCGGCCTCAGAAAGTTTCACTGCATAAAAAAGCTACATTTGGAAGATTAGCTCCTGCTTCGAAAACCTTTTTGCTACTTGAAAGGGATTTGTCCCAGGGAAAATTCCCGAGTACAACAATGGCAAAACAGCTAAACCAGCGGTGTTCATGGGAGAAGCGAGCGACCACCAAAAAAACAAACGTTCCCTATTGCCACTAGATATCTTTCTTATGTTTTTTTGTGGTCTTCAATCAGCCTCCATTTGTTGTTATACCTACAATACGTTCTGATAAACCTAGATTTGGAAACATGGAGATCGTACCCTTTTAACATATGACAGTTCATGTCATATCCGTATAAATAAACCTCAAAATTCGTCGAGAAAATTATCTTTCGCAGCCAGAAGTAAAGAAGAAAGAAAAACGAGCAAATAATGAGTGCGGTGCACCACGTAAACGGCGAAAGTATGATTTTCAAAACTTGAAAAAGCATACCTCGCAAGCCTACCTCCATATGAAAGGAGAACCGTCACGAGAGGGAGCACTGACGAGGGAGGAGTTCTTTGTCGTGGAACAACTCATACTACTGTCCCTTGCAAGCGGGAAGGAACTGATTACTTCCCCTCTGCTGACCCACTACAATCTTGTTCAATCTATCAGTTGCACCCTTGAACCTAAGCCGTTACGGCTCAGAAAAAAATCACATGAACAAATCAAGCGAGCCATTGCAGCTCACGATCACGAAGCAGCCATTATGGCGGCGTTATTCAAAAGACAAATTGAACTATGTTCCTCAAAGAAGTGAACACCATCAAACGTGCTGAGGAATGCCATAAATTTTTTAATACTTTGTTGAATTTTTGTTATTGTTGCGCATATGACAAACAGTCATTTCGAAAATGAATAGATCTTGTTGCTATATTAAGCTGTAATATATTACAAGTTCTCGATAATTTTTTCATGAAACTTGAGAAAAGGTTTTTAAAATAGTTATGTTAGCCGCAACTCTTTAATTCAATTTTTATATGGGTCCTTTGGTCCTCTGTACCCACTGGTCCTCTGTATTCACTGTTCCTCTAGTCCTCTGTACCCACTGTTCCTCTGGTCCTCTGTGCCCACTGTTCCTCTGTTCCCTCTGTGCCCTCTGTTCCCACTGTTCTCCTGGTCCTCTGTACTAACTGGTCCTCTGCACTAACTGGTCCTCTGTGCCCACTGTTCCTCTGGTCCTCTGGTCCTCTGTGCCCACTGTTCCTCTGTGCCCACTGTTCCTCTGTGCCCACTGTTCCTCTGTTCCCACTGTTCCTCTGGTCCTCTGTACCCACTGATCCTCTGTGCCCAGTGATCCTCTGTGCCCACTGATCCTCTGTGCCCACTGTTCCTCTGGTTTCGCTGTTCCTCTGGTCCTCTGTACCCACTGTTCTTCTGGTCCTCTGTACCCACTGCTCCACTGATTCTCTGTACCCACTGTTCCACTGGTCCTCTGTGCCCACTGTTCCACTGGTCCTCTGTGCCCAATGTTCCTCTGGTCCTCTGTGCCCACTGTTCTTCTGTACCCACTGTTCCACTGGTCCTCTGTACCATTGTGCCACTGGTCCGCGGTGCCCACTGTTCCTCTGGTCCTTTTTGCTCGCTGTTCACTGATCCTCTGTTCCTAATTTTCCACAGTACTACTAATACTCTCTGCCCACTGTTCACTGGTCCTCTGTACCCACTCACTTTACCCTTCTGCTACACCTATCTGTTAATTATTAGTTATTTCAGAACCCGGTGTACGAGAGACTACCCCAGAACCCGGTATATGAGAGACTACCTGGAACCTGGGATGACTCCAAACGTCAAGGTAAAAAAAAAATGCAGACAATATATA